AGGACATAATAAGATTTGGGGTAATCAAAATCACATGTTGCTTTCTCCAAATCTATGTCTACCTTTACACCTCTTATCAATGAATCCAAAGTAGAGAGAGAGATGTAAAATAGACGCAAAGGCATTCACACTCTTCGGTGCTGGGTGGGGTCTGAGTTTTTCACACTCCTTGTCTTCCTCCTTTCCCATCTCAAAATACCATCTCTCTCTCTCTCTCTCTCTCTCTCTCTCTCTCTCTCTCTCTCTCTCTCTCATATGGGAGAATCAGAATGCACTTTGGTTTTAAAACAACGAATTTAAATAACTGTAAATAAAAAATTAAATTTTAAATATAACTTTTAATCTGTAATTAAAATTCCTGTTATTAATTGTTTGCATTGATACCTGATAAAGTAACATTTAGAGGAGACTGAGGAATTATTAATTATTGATATACCTTTTTTTGTTCCCTTTATCTTTTGCGTACGATTATTCTCCTATTAAAGATAATTCTATTGAAAACATAGTCAACCCCCCTAAATGATAATATTTTTCTATTTCCACCAAACCCAACATTCATTCAGTGTTAGTTTTGCCCCGTAGCAAATGAAATGAAAGAAGATAAATTGGCATGCAGTTTAACACAAAATTTAATAGATTAGATCTTGAGGAGTCATGTTGCCATATCCTTGAAAGGGAAAACAAATAAAAGAGTATGGTTTGTGTGTGTGTTTTGCTTCTATCATTTATATATATTTTATTATTGTTATCTCTTACAACAAATTTCATATGATCAATACTAACATACACACACATATATATATAAAGTAAAAGTGAAATTGAGGGAGCAGTGGAGGGAAGGAGGGCCCTAGCATGAGCTCCACAGTGTATGAAATGGAAAACACATGAAAGTGGAGCTGACCCACTCCTGTCTCTTCCTCAACCTTCTCAGCCCATTTTACCCACACCACTCCTCCTTCACTCCCCCATCATCTGCCATGCACCCCTTTCATAATATTATTGTCTCTTTTGATTATATGTGCGCGCGCGCGCACATTTCATGTTTTATTTTGTGTAAATGCCAAAAAAAAAATATATCTGGGAGAGCTATTCCCAATTGGACCTGATAATAATTCAATATGACTTAATTAAATAATCATATATACACGCACATGAATCTCAATGCAACGTACGTACGTATGTCGGTATGTGGTGCTATTAACTCAACCAATGATTTATTTTAAAATCGAATCTAAACTTGAATCATCACACTTGTTCATGATCAGTTGTTCAGTTTTTTCTCCTGATTAATTGTTTACTTGCAAATCTATTGAATTCTCATGGATCTCCGCTGTGATCTGGAGTGCACACCCTGAAGCTTTGGATGCTTTAGACACATGTGAGGCTTTGTGTGTAAAAAGTCAACGTTGTGAGTGTGGGATGAAAAGTCAATTGCTTTTCAGAGGTACCATTACCTTTATTGTCCCTTTCGTGTATGTATATTATATATGCTGTATGTGAATAAAGGGCAGTAATTAAATTAAACACTGTCAATCGTGGCCAATATGGTTGGTGTGGTCGATGAATTCCATTTCTATCTTAATCACGATATTAATTAATAAATATGCTTTATTGCTTATAGCTAGGGTTTAGATTCTACAAATGTGGCCAACTTGAAACTCTTTGACTTACTCAACACTTCATCTTCTATGAAAGCTTTTAGATCTGTAATCACGTAAAGTATCAGTGCTCTTTAAGCCATTATCATAATCACCCATTAGACTAATCTCTCTTAATTCTTCCTTCTTGACTACTTACATGGGACTGATGAAAATCCGAGGTATGCATGCGGCGTTTGATATACATAGTCGACTTCATCATGACAATGCACGTGAAAATTATTATGTTTATAGTATATTTATATGTAACAGATTTCCCTAATTTTACGTGCAAAAGTTGTAATGGATAACTATAATTATACCAACATATGCATGATCAATGGAAATAATAATTTGAACTATATATTAACCTTCCATAAATTCTTCAAGCTTTCTCTCTAATAACATATATATATATATATAGATATGACTGCTTATCTCTCTGTACCTGTTCTCATCACTTTAAGTTTGTCTGTTTCTAATTGTTGCCATCAGATTCAGGTATAGCCTTCCTTCAATTTTATATTATTACCAATCCAATATAAATGAACAAATATTAACTTATCTAGCCAATGTTTAAAACTATGCATGTTAAATGGGACGTTTAAGACAAAATGGTACGACGCGTATATTAATTAATTAGTAATGGTTCAGTGATGTGTGTGTCACACACACACACACTCCTACGTGTATTTGATAATTAATTAAATGTAATAATTATAAGAAGCATTGGACATCTATATATCATGTTTCCATAAGCACCTAAGGAATAATAGCACCTAGCGCGCGCACAAAAAAACAATACAAAAGTAGTTCCGAGATTTTTTTTAAGTTTATTGTCTACTGCACTTTGAAATATTCATCATAGGTTAATTTTATGCTTTATATCTTTATAAATCTAATTACTTGTTTTATATAAAAAAAAACTGTAAAACATTGCGGAAAAGAAAACTTGTTACAATCTCTCTGTCTCTCTCTCTCTATCTATATTCACACACACACACACCCCCCAATATTACTGTTGTGATATTAAAACCAGTTGATCACTACTTGCAGTAGCTAAATATAGTCTCTCTCCACTTGACGTGAGACTTAAAAAATAATCTCAGCGACAGCAAGAAATAAGAATGGTTTTTAATTAGATTGAACTCCGAGTATGCAGTCTTAAATGAACGTGAGACCAAGGTTATCAAGGATATAATAATAAGTCACAAATTGTGACAATAAAACAGAGAAAGTGATTGTGTATGTCCTACCAAATTGATTAAGGCACACGGTCAACATTGGTTGACTGAAAATCATAGACAAATTAAATCTGACTCGGGTACATAATTAATAATGTGCGTTTTATCTTCCTGGAGGGCTTTAAATATATGCAAGCTTAATTCATTTAATCTTTTACCGAACAAGTCCAAACAATTAGAGATGATACATTGTCTATATTTATAACACTGAATGGTTTGCCAGCAATGTAGCGAAGTGCTTTTAATTTTAAATTAGCTCCTTTGATAGAACAATTAGTGTATGATAAATTTAAATTAAGGCTCAGAATCTTCTTCGAGTCTTTAATCAGGAGCAAGCTGAGCAGTGTATGTTTATCAGACCATCATCATATTTTCATTTTTTATCCATGATGGGCTCCTCATCATTTTAATTGTAAATTCAATTAAAGTGGACAATGTCTTTTTTGTTGTTGTCGTTGAAAAAGTGGATAATGCTTTCGATGACTGTATGAAATTGCAACAGATCAGATAAAACAAAAAAGTTACTATTCGGTGTAAAATGAAGGTAATGTAAACAACTTTTGGGGTAAGCATTAAGTCAAATCCACCAACCCTACAAGCTTTAATACCCAGCACAGAAAATATTTGTCGGATTCCTTTTGTCTATGGTATATGTGGGTATAGATATATATATATATATATATGTATGGATGTATGTATGTTCAACACCAGATGAGGCTGCCATGCATGCATGCGTGATGGCACATCATATCATGTCACACAAACACACATAGTTTAATATAATATAATGAAACACGCCATGGCGGAGGAGTTGGGGGGGGGGGGGAGAGAGAGGGCGGCAACGCCCTGCTGCTCCACCTTTCTTCTTTTTTTTCCTTTGGGGAGAGAGATAGGAGCAGAGACTGGTTTCAATATGGACAACACATGACGCTTGTTTTGTCTGTGTTCCTCATTTTCTGTAACAATACTTTTTTTTGTTGTTGTAAAATATGAACAAAGAGAACCTCAAACTGACACATACCAAATAAATAATCCAAAGAGACGTACAAACAAGGGAGAATTTCGTCTGAACACCACAAATTTGATATATTTTTAGATCTGGGCTGAATATAATTTAAAATCTCACTGGAAAATGTTGACACTGAATAGAAATAAAATTCTAAAATAAAACAATCAAAATATCATTCTTTCAATTGTATAAGACAAAAATTAACAATTGAAGTAACGCTTTTAATAACTAGTAATATAATTGATTTTACAAGTTATGATAATAAATCAATGAGTAATGAATTTAACTCGTTACATGAAATTTGTAAATAAAGTTACAGGGTTATTAGTTAGTGTGAGAGAATGTACATATAAAATTAAGGAAATTTCAAGTTCTTTCAAGAATTAGTAACCAATATAGCCTGCGGCGAAATGGGTGTAACAACAAACAAGCAATACAAGATAGTTAATAAATAAAGTAAAGCTTTTGATTAGTAATGTGATTGATTTTATTAGCTTTGATAATTGCTTAACAATTAGCGAATTTAACTTGTCACATTAAAGTTACAGAGGAATCAAGTAAGAAAGTAAAGTTTCGAAAATATGTATGTCTACATCCTCGGACGATATTCTTGCAATTAGCAGTAAAATCTGTCTGTATGTATAACTTCACAACCCCACTCTAACTCATGACCCAAAAAAAAAAAAAAACCACCCTAACTGAGATTTAAAGATTAATGAACAGCGAAAGAAACCTGGATAAAGTATGATACATCACATATGTCTATATATGATATTGATTGATATTGATATTTCACACGGGAATATAAGTTTTTCTCAACATTACAAAAAGAAAAACCATTCTTGTTCTGCTTCCAGTACGCGCAGTGGGAGGCTTTGTCTCGGCTCGGGTATTACTGTCTTCTTTCTGCTAAATTTTCGCTTCCCGTATTTTTTTTTTTTTTGCATCACACGTTTCGAAACTCGAGGGGGGAAAGAGGGTCGTTTGCGAGAAAATTAAAAAAAAAAAAAAGTGAAGTGAAGGAGCCACTGGCGTTTCGGTTGCCATTTGATTTCTTTTTATATTTTTTTTCCCACTCCTCAAAACAAGACACCATAAAATCACACAAATAGTCGCTCTTGCTTGCTCTGGTCTGGCCCCGTTCCGTCTCTATCTTTGGGTTTTGCTTTCTCTCTCCCTCTCTGTCTTTCTGGTTCTCTCGAGATTGGCGTCTAAGATAGAGACCAAGGAACCCCTTCTGGTTCGTTCTTTTCCAACTTCAATTTTTGAGGGCAATCTTCACTATCAGATGAAGGAGAGTGGAGGCTCTCTTGGAGAAGAGAGCCTGCCCGATAACACTAGCACAGAAGAAGACCAAACAGAAACACACTAGCTTTTTCCAAACCCCATTTTCTGTTTGAAACTTTCTTTCTTCCATGGCTCTTTCTATGCACAAAGATTCACCCAACAAGCAGATGGACACGAGCAAGTACGTAAGGTATACACCTGAGCAGGTGGAGGCTTTGGAGAGGGTGTATGCAGAATGCCCAAAACCTAGTTCTTTGAGGAGACAGCAGCTCATTAGGGAGTGTCCTATACTTGCTAATATTGAGCCCAAACAGATCAAAGTTTGGTTTCAGAACCGCAGGTAAAATAGCTCAAGCTCAACAGCGTGTGATGCTTGCTCAGGAGTTCATTTTGAAGCTTTGCTTTCATTTGTTTTCCGTGATGCATACTTTTTTCCCACTGGCTCCTTTTTGCATCTGGATTTGGGAGGAAGGGAAGTAAAGGAGAGATGTGAAAACTTCTCACTTTAAATCACACAAATTTTCCTCTTTTGACAATATAAAGTTTAATCAAGCATTTAGTTTCTCTTAGCTTATCCTGTAAATTTCATACTACTCTTGTTGCCTTTCTTGAGAGTCTGTTTCAGAGAGGAATGTTGGAAGGAAATGTTTTTTGGGGGCTAAATTTCCTTGCTTTGTTTAGTTTTCTCCGGGAGAAAAGGAAAACTTATTTTCTTCTTTAAGATTCTTGTTTTTCAATGTTCTCTTTTAGTCCTGAAGGCTGAAAGGTTGGTCTTTTCTGGCTACCTTTTTTCCTTCGCTCATGTTGTTGCTATTTTGATTCTGTTGGAGAAACATTTCTTCATTTTACAGGCTAGTTTGTTATCACCTTAAAGATGAAGATCTACTGGGAAAGTTACTTCCTTTTGTCATTTTCCCTGCGCAGATCTCAGTTCTGCTGATGAATAATATTATTTAGAAAGGATCTATTATTGAGTTGATTAAATGGAAGATAGCGACAGCTGATCAATCACATTTTGCTGTTTCCACGCCTAATTTTTTGTCCGAGTCATCATTTTGGTCATTCAATGATGCTTTTGTAAAAGATACTGTAACAGAAATGTTGCTAGTAAAACCATAAGTAAAAATGTTTATTATTTTAAAGGTTTGAAAGGACTAAACAGTTGTGAGGAGTGTTGTTTGAACAGGAATGGAGAAGAAAAAGGCTTGTGTTATGCAACGTGAAGGAGAGTTTTGTTTTTCCCCCCCTCTTAGAGAAATGTTTTTATAATTTTTTTATAATTTGTATTTTTAATTTTTAATTGTAATTAGTTTCAAATTTAAATTCAATTTCTTTTCAGTAATTTTAAACCTAAGTAATTTTAAACTATAAGTAAATTTATATTGATATATTCTTTGCTTAATGGTTCTGAATCTGGAGTGCAAATTTTTTAAATTTTTTTATTTTTCAGTTATAGGGACTTTTTTTTTAAAATTTGGAAGGGTGGTTTAATAGGACAATGACAGCTGACTTTGATGACTTTTCCACTCTGATTATTTTTCACTTTTGACCTTGTAACTTTTTCATAAATTTTTAATTTTTAAATTGTAATTTTCAATTAAATTATTTAGTAATAAAATTAAAATTAAAATTGAGAGTGTGCTTTGTTTTAATAACCTTAACTGTTTCGTCTAATGTCTGCTTGATTGCTGATTTTCTGATGTCATCCTTAACATGGGAACAAGGAAATAAATCTGTTTTACTACTTTGTTTCATCTTATAGCAAACTATTTGAATAAATAATGTTTTGTTCTGCTCTTGAAATTCCTATAAAATGCATCATCTTCCACTTTACTATGTCTGCGTTAAATTTACTTTAGATGTTACTGTTTCGTATTTTCAATCTTTTGCCTATCAGATGACAAAAGATAATGATGGTCTGATAACTAAGTACTGTGTTGGTGGTTGCTAGAATGATTCTGTCGTAGTGTCATTTATGTTATGAATGGCCTATTATGTAATGCAGATGTCGTGAAAAGCAGAGGAAGGAATCTTCGCGACTGCAAACTGTAAACAGGAAGCTCTCTGCGATGAACAAGTTGCTAATGGAAGAGAACGATCGACTGCAGAAGCAGGTGTCACAGTTGGTGTATGAAAATGGATACATGAAGCAACAGATACATACTGTAGGCCCTTCACCTTTCACGTGTTTTTATTTGTTATTGTATTTTCATCTCATGCATCGGTTGGTTTACTAAGCACTGTTCCAGCTATCAAACATCATTCTATCTAAAGGTATTGTTCAATGGAGAATCTCATTTACTGGTTTCTTCACAGGCGTCTGCTACTACTACAGACAATAGCTGTGAGTCTGTGGTAATGAGTGGTCAACAACAACAGCAAAACCCAACACCTCAGCATCCCCAGAGGGATGCCAATAACCCAGCTGGGTAACTAACTTCTAATCCTTTTTTATTGTAAACTAAGGATGAGCTACTTAGATTTATTTTCTAGGTTTTCTAATTGAATATGACATGGGAGTATCCTTCATACCTAAAATGACACGATTGACTTAAGTTACAAAAGTTCTACATGTTGTGTTTTTATTGGACAAATGGATATTAAACACCTAAGGAACTTTACCGAAGCTTTTTTTCCTTAATTCTTTTGAGTGTTTACCCAAGTGCCTAATCCTTTTAAGTTCAGTCTTCTGGCGATAGCTGAGGAGACCCTGGCAGAGTTCCTTTCCAAGGCTACTGGGACTGCTGTCGACTGGGTCCAGATGATTGGGATGAAGGTGTGACTTCTTTAAGAATTCTTTCCTTTATGTTTGTGCATACCATTGGAATTCCTGGAATTGAGAATATGTTTTTCCTTTTTCCCCCATTATGTAGCCTGGTCCGGATTCTATTGGAATCGTAGCTGTTTCCCGCAATTGTAGTGGAATAGCAGCACGAGCTTGCGGCCTCGTGAGTCTTGAGCCCATGAAGGTATGTATCTATAGTTGTGGTTTGATGCAAGTTTTCCTTTATGTTTCTTGTTTGTGTGGTGAAATTTTGCTTTTCTTGATTATTACATGATAATTCATCTCAGGTTGCTGAGATTCTTAAAGATCGTCCATCTTGGTATCATGATTGCCGCTGCCTTGATGTGTTGAGCATAGTTCCCACTGGGAACGGGGGGACAATTGAACTCATGTACATGCAGGTGTCATGGTCTTGCCTCGTGTTAATCTATAAATTTAAGCTCAACTGCAGTATCAATTATTAATTACATTTCCTCAGTTCAGCTGTTAATATGTAAAATTTTATTGGACAACTTTTTATCAGACCTATGCACCTACAACATTGGCAGCAGCACGTGACTTTTGGACTCTTAGATACACTACGAATATGGAAGATGGAAGTCTTGTGGTACTATGCAAATCCTAATCTTTTATTTCTTTATTTAGAATGTGATTCTTTTTGTTGGTGGAAGTTCGTTTTGTATGCTGATGTAGTATCGGATATCTTTGGTTGGCTGATTGCAAAATGCTGAATTGAAAGTTCCTTCTGCAGCTGTCATTGTTTTAAAAAGAAAAAAAGAAAAAGAAAATAACATCTTGAAATTATGCTTGCAGATATGTGAGAGGTCTTTGACTTCTTCAACTGGTGGCCCTACAGGTCCTCCTGCATCAAACTTTGTTAGAGCTGAAATGCTTTCTAGTGGCTATCTAATTAGACCCTGTGAGGGTGGCGGATCCATTATTCACATTGTTGATCATGTGGATTTAGATGTGAGGAATAATACATAAACATTTTCAATTATGTCCTCATTTTGCAAGCTTTGTTCTCATCGGTAATCTAATAATAAATCTACTTCTGGCAGGCTTGGAGTGTCCCTGAAGTCCTTAGGCCCCTCTATGAATCATCAAAAATCCTGGCTCAGAAAATGACTATTGCTGTAAGTTTACTTGCATGGATCACTTTCTTGACTAGACTTAAGATTGTTCAATAACATTTTTAATGTATTGTACAGGCCTTGCGACATATAAGGCAAATTGCTCAAGAAACAAGTGGAGAAATTCAATATGGCGGGGGCCGCCAGCCTGCTGTTTTAAGAACATTTAGTCAGAGACTTAGCAGGTGAGGCCCTGCCAACTTTGGGGGCAAAATCATTGGCAACTTTGTTCACTTAAAGTTTTTGACTGGGTTCATCAAATTTGGATGTCAGAGTCAAGATTAAATCAGCTTATCTTCTGTACTGACTACTAATTTCTTAAAACTTCGTTTTTAGGGGCTTCAATGATGCTGTGAATGGGTTTGTGGATGATGGCTGGTCTCTAATGGGCAGTGATGGTGCTGAGGACGTGACCATAGCCGTTAACTCATCTCCGAATAAATTTTTTGGGTCCCACTATGGTACCTCAATGTTCCCTACATTTGGAGGCGGGGTTTTATGTGCCAAGGCATCAATGCTGCTGCAGGTAACTTCTGAGCTTGCTAATCTATGAGGCCATAATATCTGGCTTCGCTTACATCTTCAATATATACAGATTTTACATTTATACTTTGTCATAACTTCAAGATGACATGCAGAATGTTCCTCCTGCTTTGCTTGTTCGCTTTCTGAGGGAGCATCGCTCAGAGTGGGCTGATTATGGGGTTGATGCATACTCTGCTGCATGTCTCAAGGCTAGTCCTTACACAATTCCTTGTGCAAGGCCTGGTGGCTTCCCCAGCAGTCAGGTCATTTTACCACTTGCTCATACTATTGAACATGAGGAGGTATTGGCTTGCAACTCTTGCTTATGTTTATTTCCGTTACAATTCTTGATGATCTGTTTCTGTTTTTTTGTACAATATATTTATTGGTCATCCCCTGCAATGGTACAGTTTTTGGAGGTAGTTCGTATAGAGGGTCATGCATTTTCCCCTGAAGATGTGGCTCTGGCCCGGGATATGTATCTTCTGCAGGTAGAATTGCGTTTTTATGCAGTCTGTCTTGGTATCTTGATTAAACCGAAAGCTAAAATGGATTCTGAATTATTCTTATTATGTATTTATATTATGTGCAATTTGATTTTGCAGCTGTGCTATGGAATTGATGAGAATGCAATTGGATCATGTGCTCAACTTGTATTTGCACCTATTGATGAATCATTTGCTGATGATGCTGTCTTGCTTCCTTCTGGCTTCCGTGTCATACCATTGGATCCTAAAACAGTTTAGCATTGCTTCTCAGCAACTTTTTTGGTTTTATATATGTTCTTATTAGTTGTTGTTGGAACTCTTTTGTTTTTTTTGGTCTTCCACATGGAGGGGGTATAATATTATTGTTAATAATTTTTATTTAGGCATTTTTTGGAGTCATAAAAAAATATAGCTAAATCACGTCCAAAAATAACTTCAAGGTAAATCCTAGTTTGCACTGTTTCTAGATAGCTATTTGGCCTAGCTAATCCTAGCTCCCAAGTCATTCCTTGTGAAGGTAGAACTAAGAGCAGTGGTGATTGAGTGCTTGTTTCTGTTTCTTGTGCATCTCAGAATGGTTCAGCAGCAAATAGAACTTTGGATCTGGCATCTACACTTGAAGCGGGATCTGGCAATGCCCGAGCACCCGGTGACACTGATCCAAATAGTTACAATCTTAGGTCGGTCCTTACAATTGCATTTCAATTCATGTTTGAGAACCATATGCGGGACAATGTGGCTGCAATGGCTCGCCAGTATGTGCGTAGTGTTGTGGGGTCTGTTCAGAGGGTTGCCATGGCTATTGCTCCCTCTCGCCTAAGTACCCAGCTTGGGCCAAAGTCTCTTCCCGGTACTCCAGAGGCTCTTACTTTGGCACGCTGGATCTGTAGGAGCTACAGGTTTGTCTTTTGACGGATGGCAAAACTTTCATTTTGCTGAGATTTTTACTTCTGATGTCTTGTTCTTGTTACTAGCTTTCCTGAGTGTGCAATGATTACTTGTTTCGTCAGGATTCACACAGGGGGTGAGATATTTCATGTTGAGTCCACGGCAAGTGATGCTATCTTGAAGCAACTTTGGCACCATTCGGACGCAATTATGTGCTGCTCTGTAAAAGCAAATGTAAATCACATTATGTTCAAGAAACTTCACTCGTTAATCTGTGATTATTTTTCAAGGTGAGGCCACTGACTCCAGAAATTCGTTGCAGGCATCCCCTGTTTTCACCTTTGCAAACCAGGCTGGACTTGACATGCTTGAAACCACTCTCGTGGCCCTTCAAGATATAATGCTTGATAAAGTTCTTGATGAGGCTGGCAGGAAGATTCTCTGCTCTGAGTTCGCCAAGATAATGCAGCAGGTGAGCGAATTACTTAGACTTGAGCTCACTGAAGAGATCAATTTGCCTAATTCCTAGCTATTTTATGTATTAGTAAAACAAGATATAGGTGGAGACACTGAAATTTTGTCTGAAGTTTTTGAATAAGCTAATCTGATGCCAGCTTGTTCAATGTCGGAATCTTTTCAGGGTTTTTCTTATCTGCCAGCAGGAATATGTGTCTCGAGCATGAACAGGCCAGTGTCGTATGAGCAGGCGATAGCCTGGAAAGTTCTGGATGATGATGATTCCAATCACTGCCTTGCTTTCATGTTCATGAACTGGTCTTTTGTCTAACGGGAAGGAAAATCCAGCTAAAAGGATGATGGTTTCCATCGTGGTTATGATAAGCACTTAATTACCGTAGACATAATATGTACTAATGCCAGGATTTCAAGACTCATGTCCTGCTTTTTTGCTTTTTATGCTTTAGTAAGCTCCATGTTACTTGTGAGAACCTCTTTTCTATATATAAATATAATCCTATTTTGATACTGGCCACTTCGAGCTCCTATGTTTGACAATTTCGTACATCACGCTCTGGAGACAAATTTGTGATTGAATTCACTGTAGCTTTCATTTGCATAATATGAAATGACACTTCATGAGTGTTGGAAATGATATATTTTAAATAATTACTTTACTGTCCCAGACTGGCAATGGTTGAAGTAATTTGTTTTGTATTTATACCTTTAAACCGAAGGACCAATAATCCAATGTTAAAAGAGCGTGCGCTGTGTGGGGTGGGGAAGTTAATTCATTTCATTGGCTAGGAAGATTTGTGGGGCCCATGGAATCTCAATTTGCAGCAGCGTTTGGATCTGGGGTAACATTATATGTATGGTCAAGGTCGTGACGACATCGTTTCAGATCGTCCATCCCAAACCTGTACAATCCTGACCCTATCCCCTGGCTGTTCCCTGTTTGGCAATCCAGTTTCGTCTCTTTCTTTATTTCCTTGCTTATTCCATTTATTTCTCTTTTTGTCGTTTTAGATTTTACGCCATCTCCAATAATTAATACGCTCGCCTTGATGACAAGCGAATGCGACGACGTTTCGAATCTGGGTGCGCGCTAAAGACAAATAAACAATTAGGCAAGGCTCTGGCCCTACAGGGCACTGTTAGGTGTCCATTTTTTGTCCCTTTCATTGGTTCGGTTGAGGACTTTGGACTTATCACTGTTGCTCAATGCCCCACCCAGTTCTTTCACTTGATTTAATGGAAAAAAATTGTAATTGTAAATTGAAATATTTGACGTAAAATGAACTAGATTTGGTCAACAATTACATATATGCATGTAGACCCTCGCTCTTAGCAAGAAGAGATCAAGTTTAATTAAATTTTCAGGTTACTCAGGTGACATACAAAATTCTTTTTGAAATTTTGAACTAAGAAGAAAGAAACTATGAATGGACGTTGGTGGTTTTGGTCCATTGTTCCTGGGCAACATTTATTTATATTTAATTGAAGGACAAGATTGGGAAGTCTGGAGGGTATAATGGCCTAGACGTACGTGGGTGCAAACCTACGTATGCAAAGGAACATGATAGAGTACAGCATATTACTCCCATGTAGCAGGATGATGCATGAGCCATAATGATTATGGCAACACCATCATGCATATATACAGTAGGGGCCCACCTCATTAACAGCAGCTCATAGTATGTGGTTTTATTTCCCTTTCTAGAGCCTCGAAACCTCAGGGATTGAAAAGCTGAGAGGAAAGGACACTTTTTAAAGTGGCCTGCCTCTCATGGGATTTAAATATTGCGCAACATGAAATGGGGAAAAAAGCGTAGCATTCAAATCTAGCAGGTTAAATAAGTAAATTAACGACCCAATGCCTTGTTTTTCATGACTTTGTCTAATTACAGTTTAACTCTTGAACTACTATGTTGATCAAACTTAGGCTCAAAGTTTGAAAAATGGAGAATGAAAGTGAAAGCGATCTTTGTGGCAGCAGCCTTGCAGGTTTCTTTAAATTTCCAGACATGAGCCGGCAGGCTATGATCATTATTGTGATCGTTAAGGGTTTAGTAATTGGGAAAAGGAAGCAAGGCAGAGTGGTTTGAGGGGCACCCCTAGATTAGTGAGGGGTGGTTTTTGAGGGGTTTGATGCTATCCATGACCGTGGTGGTGTCCATTCTTTGTTACAAAACATGTTAATGATCAAATGGTTGAGAATATTCCAATTCTTACTGAGTTGAGATGTCCGTGAGTGAGAGAGAGAGAGAGAGAGAGAGAGAGTAGGGTAGGGAATAGGATAGACGCAGCATGGGGAAGGGGGAGGGATGAGGCAGGGAGGTTTCTTGTTTGCTTCTGCTGGTGCTGGGGCGTTGAAGCACAACCACTAGCTTCTGTTAGGGTTCATCATCATTTCTTCCTTTCTGGGACTCTGTGTTCCTCCCTCCCTACTTTTTCATGTTTCCATCCAATATTTTTAAGTTTGTCTGCACTATGTTATGCCCAGTTCTTGTCCACTCTCTCGTTTAAAAAGAACAAGCATTTTTTAGGGGCTTGTATATTTAAAAGTTTAAAATATTTTTAATTTTTAAGATATAATTATTATTTTTTTTAAAAAAAGTCACTTATTAAATAAATTATTTTATATTTATTTTAAAATAAAATTTTTTATTAAATAGAGATAAAAATGAAAAGATAAGATTAATTTAAAGAAAATTAACCACTTTATTGAAGTGAAATTAGATTAATAAGTTATTCTATTATGTTATGCCAAAATCAAATAAAAGTTTAAAAATCAGAAATCTAATATGTTTTTAATTTTATTTTTATTAAATATACATATTTTAATAATATATTTTTTATAACATTTAATAAAAATAAAAGGAAAAATTTAAAATAAAAATTGAACAGTAACTTATGAATAAGATAAAAAAAGCTTTTTCTCTGTTTTATGAATAATACCATAGAGAATGCTACTTCTGCTTATGTTTAATATTATAATACATTTTTTTAAAGTATCATTTTAAAAATATAAGATATTTTAAATCTTTTAAAATATAATTAACAAGTTTTTTTCAAATCTTTTTAATTAAGAATGTAATTAATAAAAATTTTTAATTGAGATGTTCCATTAAATTTTAATAGATAAATATAAAAAAATTAATTTTAAAAATAATTAATTAACTTATTTGCTCTTGTATGCGCCTCCATCTCTCTTGTCTTTCTTTGTGGTGCTATCACTAAGGGGCAAACACTCGTCCCTTTCCTTTTCATCCCCATTTATTGCTCTCCCTCTCTCGCGCTTTCATTTTCTTCCCACCCAAATTGCAAAATTACACTGCCCTACCTTCACTGCTTTCCTTATTAATTAGCACTACACTTCGTTTCTTAAAGTTTTCTCATTCAAACTTATCTCTTTGACCATATCATTAACTTGATACATTCAAGCTCAGCTTTATACATTTGTACAAGTTCAGGATAAATTGAGACACATTTTCTTAGCCCCCATGGAAGAGTTTCACATATGTTACGTGTTTTATGAGTTCAAAGAACTCTCCTATTTAATATGTTAGTATTTTAGAACGAGTTCTCCTTCACACTAATGGTTGACGTATTTTTTTTTTTTTTTAAATAAGCCCACTGGTATTGATAAAAGCTTCTTGTTCTCATGTGAACGTAACAAGGGATGGGTATTGAACAGAGAGGTTGGTAAAAAAAATTTGGACTACTCATGCAGCTAGAGTCGAGAGTTGAAGAGCTACGTGTGTTCAGTGTTGGTGCTGCTGCCAACAAGAATTTAAGAGGGCAAGATTTCAGGATCTGCTTTGGAGATACACAGAATCAAATGAATTTATGAACAACGAAAATAGAACTAGCCAGTAGATCTGCTGCTGGGGAGGAGCTAGTTATTATAATGATAAGATAAGTACATCTTATAAATGCATCCTCACCAAAAGCAACATTCACCAGACCAGTAAATAACAGCAGAGCCCCCACATCATTTGGATTTAGTACTAATCATCCTTCTCATTGCCATTTGCCACTGGCAAATCACACTGCCTTTCCAATTTCACTTCGCGTTTCCTTTCTCACTAAAAGGTGTCTTTCTTTGTGTTTTTGCTTTGGATTGAAGAAAGAGGCAAATCTGCTGTCATCCACACACAAAGCAAGAAAAGGAAAGCTTCGTTGCAGTATCATACTCCCACTACCCTCCTTTATCTGCTTCATTATCGTCTCCCTTTCAATTTTAACCCATCAAAAACATGATCCAGCAGACTTGATTAGCTTGTGAGTAAAGCATGTGATTTCATTCCCCAGCACTAGTTTTATGCTTCATATTATTATTAATATTAATATTATTATTATTATTATCATATACAGGTATTTTTTTATTAGAGACAATTAGTCAAGCACTTAATATAAGTACATCTTCTTATAAAGTTTCAAACTCTTTTCTGAACCCAACCCCGTGGGTATATTATAATATTATTATTTAATTAACAAGAAATAAATTTAAACTATTTAAATCAAATATAAGTAACCTGAGAATAATCGTACTACCACCCCTGTTTTCCCAAATAAGCATCAAAGATTAGATGTATAAAGTATTCACCATAGAGTTCAAAGAATACCATGCATGCCATTTGACTTTGAAGGCACATTTAAAAAATACTAACAATAAATTGAAAAAATTAATATTTTAATCCTTTAACTTTTAGCTCACTTATAACTCTATATCTTAACTATGACTTGATATGATTTAATCTCTCAATTATAATTCATTACAATTCAATTCCTTAATTTTTTACTCACTTATAATTCAGCTCTTATTTTTTAAAATTCTTTAAAAAAATTATTCTCATCAAATAAGAGGAATAAAAAAATACTCATATTTTGCTTTAAAATACTCTCTTCTTGCTTTTTAATATGGCATCTAAACTAACATAAAAAGAGAGAGCTAACAAAAGTTGAGAGATTGAATCATAGATAAGTCAAAAATTGAGGAATTAAGTTATAAAAAAATTAAGTAATAGTGAATCATAATTAAAAAATTAAATTATAAAAAAAATTAAAAGTTGAAGAATTAAAAAATAAAATTTTTTTAATAAATTTTATGATTTCTTTTGAAGGAATCGTTCTTTTCTATACGTGCGAAAAGTTGGGCCCCACTAAATTAGACAAGCCCAAGATCTTTAATGATATTTGGGCCCATCACTAACGTGATATGTTTGGGTTGACTTTTGTCAAAGACTTTGTCAGTGTTCTTAGCTTTTTCAGCTTTTTTTTCCCCCGTTAGTAGTTGACCATGTTACTCAAATTTGTCTCCAAAAGCATAATCCAGAGGCTATCTTAAATTGAATCTTACCTTGAATGGCTTCTCACTCTAACTCCAAATGATAAATAACATGAATTCTAGGAGACAACAATATCGCAAATGATTTATTTTATTTTGGTGTTATTGGGGCACTTCTCTTTACTGTTCAGTTATTTCTAGCGAAAATAAAACCTCATGACGTTGTCTGCACAACTAGGCACGTTTCTATATATGTATTGTACCAAAAATCTGGATGAACTACATTGTTCATAGGTTATATATAATACGACGTTACATAAACTTTATTATATCTATTGATATGGGAACAGGATTATATTAATTTCTCATAATTTTTTTAGCACCCAATGAAATGGATGAAAATGACACTTGCACCTATAAATAAATACTAATATTTCACATTTTCATCTCTACTTTAACATATAACAGACCCCATTGCCACAAGTTGGCCTCTATGGTGAGCCTTTCCTAAATGTACAAGTCTAAAACAAATTTATTATTATAAAATGCGAAATAAATTTATTTTATATGTATAAAATAAAATCAAAGAGTCAAAATGGGCCAAACCTCATGCCAACTTCTTTTCTTGCAAAAAATACAACCCATTTTAAAACATGGGCCGAGTCATGAGCAAACTTCAATTTTTGCAGGAAAGGAAAAAATCATATGAAAGTGAAACCTCACTGGGCCTTGCCATTAAAAATGTTGACCGGTTTCGCGGCGTTGCTGGCTGTGGCGGGTGGCGGGTGGGAGCGACGGAGAGGAACGAGCCATGGAGATGGATCAGAGAGGGAAGGAGAAAGAACCAATTAGGGCTGCTTCGGAAGAGGTTTCCCGCGAGTTCAAAACCCTAGTCAGTACGGAAGATCTTCACTCCCTTAAGCAATTGCAGCACATCATGTACTTTTTATTTCCTTTTCCATCTGAATGCTTGTTGGATGTATTCTCGTTCTCATGTTTATGAAATATAATTATTATTATTTTTTTAGCGTCGTCAGATATCCTCGCTGCATTTCTAGTTCTTTCTTCCACCTAATGGATTATCAATTCAGCCCTGACAATTGGGATTGTTTTACTAGTCAATGAGGAATTTATGCGTCAGCAAGAAATGGTATTGCTAGCGTGGAAACTGGGAAACAATTAGAAGCAGTATTCCTTCCTGTTTATTTTGTGCTTTGGTTTCTTATAAGTTATAACATCATATTTCACCACAAAGAGGAAAGAGAATTTACAATGCCGATGTAGCTGGAACGGGCCATGCTCCTAGAATATAGGAATATGTATTTGTTGCTTTATGTTGATGAAAAATCGGAAGTCTTCCCGCCTCCCTTTTTTGCGCTAATGAGCAACGGTGGGTCATGACAGAATAGGCTCATAATTTGTTGACTAGAGAATGGTTTTGTTGTTTATACCAAAGTGATATCTTCTTTCTTGATGATTTTCAACATGGTCTTTGCCTGTATAATCTTGAGCTCTTGACTAATTGCTTTCCGTTTCTGTTTCCTTTCTAAAATGCCAAAATTTCAGATTGGGAAGGTTGCAGGATAGCAATGCTGTCCTATCACACTTTAATGAGTTCTCAGAAAACTGCTTTGCTGAGATTTCTGGAGATATCTCTAGAAATGCCCGCCTACTGAAGTCTATGAAGTCAGACCTCGATTATATATTTCTGAAATTAAGGTATTTTAATTTCCAACTGTTCGTTTTATCATGATTATGCATTTGTACCAATAAATGCAGGACAAAATTTAGATGCAGTTTTGATGTGTTTGTTATAAGGCTGTTCACTGAAAAACATGATTTTTTTTTTTTAAAAAATATATCTCAGTATCACGTGATCAGGTTTTTAACAATATTTTCTCTAGACGCCATGTTTTTATTGAAGATAATGATAACAGACACTCAAGAAACTTTACATAAGTCTAGTCCTTAAACTTGTCGTTTCTTGCTATGTAGAAGCAAGTCACCTTGAGAATGCTTATTATGGAGGCAAAAAATGAGTCGTTCCTGTTATAACATAAACGAAATGCTTGTTGGCACATTATGATTTACAATGGAGGTATGGGAATAGAAGAATTGCAAGTTATACTTGTGCCGTCTTATAAGTAATGTGAGAAAAAAAGCCCGTGCTTCAATCTAAGACACAGATATTAACATTCTTTGTTCCATGGTATGAGTTGCATTTTTAACTTTTAAGCATATAAATATTTGTTTGCAACCGTGTCAGAAAACAACTTTTGTTGAAATTTCATTTACAAACCTACTTCAATGACGTAAACGGTCATTAAGGGGGCAAAGAATAAATACAAACACTCACTGGCTACCTATTTATCAAGCTTCCTTAAAAAAGGAAGCACGCATGCTCCACTGTAGTTGTGCTAGTGTTGGACATGCATCCACTTTGATATTTGGGAGACATGGCTGGATACTTCTGGCTTCTGCTTAACAGTTTTAGAGCAGTGATTGCAGCCGCAAGTTCTACTTATGGTTTTATTCTAGCATTACCATGACTCCATAAGTTTTAATGATTGATGCAGTAACACTTGCCTGCTAATAATTGGTGTTTGTAAGGTAATTATGTCTCTATATGTTTTTGTTGTTTATACGTGATTGCCTATCAAATCGCATTTTGTTAACAATTAGCTGTGTCCTTGTATCTTTGCTTACTGGGCTAATTGTACTACTCCATTGATTTATGATATCCAACATATGGTGTTATTTATATGCCTTCCTCAATGGCTGTGTTTTGGTGAAGTTAGGCCTTACATCTGAGCTAAATTTCAAATGGCTTATACATGGGAACGGTGTCTTGCTTCTAACTAACGGAAGAAATCAATGATTCTGCACCATTTTTTAAATGCAGTCCATCTTTATAATCTTTATTCACCCCAACAAGAATGCACTTTTCAAAATCATCTGTCTGTGCTTTCTCTTACCTTATGATTGATCACGTGATCCCAAATTCCCCATGGCAGTATCTTCTTATCCTTTTCTCTCTTTTTTTCCTCCCAAAAAGTAGGTTTATCATTTTTGTTTCTCTAAAGTTCTGGCTTAGGTTCTTTGATATATCTTTTTATTATTGGACCTCATCGTTAGGCGCTAATTTGTAATAATAAATCAAATATTAGTTGAGTTTACATTCTTCATTACAGGCCTGATAGTCTTGTTTTTCTCCCTACAATATAATTATCCATGAAATGTAATGTCCTCACTTTATTCAGTTCCATAACGATAAAGCTTAATGTTGTTCACATTTTATAAACAACATACTAATACTTGGGGAGCAAGTCTCTTTGTTTCTGTCCTTTTGATATGTATGCTCATGTTATTCACATCTTTCCATGTATCTTGAGGTCTTACCTTTAGGTTCTGAGAATGTCCACTTGTCATTGGGGTGGAAATGAATTTGGCTGGATAATTGAGGGCATCGTGTTGATTAATTATTTGGGAACAAAGATTGCTAAACCAGGATTAGAAGGTGAAGGAACAGGACAAATATGTTGCAGAAAAGAAAATGGATTAAAAGGACTTTGAAAATATAATATATAATCCATTTTGAAAATATAATATATAATCCATATGGAAGGAGTTTTTTGTGTGTGCATGTTACTTCTTTTGTTGTAGTTTTTTTATTTCTCTAATAACAAAAAATTATTGCTTGGTTCACCCTCCCTGACAGAAGCATGAAGTCGAAAATTGCAGCAACTTATCCAGATGCCTTTCCTGATTATTCGGCGAATGAAGTGGTTGATGGGAGACCAGATCTCGAAATGCCCAAGTGACTAATGCTTGCTTATGAAGTAGAAATTCTAGATCATGTAAGAAGTTCTATATATACATGCATTTGTTTTGTTTTATGTTTCACGTAATAAAAGTTCTCTTTGTTGTCTTGATTGCGTTCTGCTACCAAGTATTCTTCATAACCTCAAGCTCTATTGATATTCCATTGCAATACCCCTATAATGAAATAAATACGACTATTTCATGAATGGGAAGAAAATGGAGGTACTTTTTCCTGGAGAATGAGAAAACTTGAGCGTGCACCCCTTCGTTGAGATTGGAAGGTACTTTAGCTTGAAACCATTCTAATTCTCAATTCTCATTGCCAATGTCAATTTTTGAATTCAAATTTCCAAGAGCCACCCTAAAACCGTTCTAAAGTTTTGCCAATAGGAACTATATGTACAAGGGGCTTGAATTTGAGTGCTAGACGGGGATGACAAAATGGCTAGCTTAGGAATGACACGAGCACATGATGGAGTGTAGTGTGTGATATAAATATTTTGAAGCGACTGTATCATTCACGTGCCATGATCCTTTTAGATTTCATGCAACAAATGTATCAGCTGTTATATATTCAACAACAACAAACGATTCTATTCTTCATATTCATGTGAGATTTAATAAAGTTTTACATTGGCTGTTAAAGGTTACACATAGACTGAGTTAGAATGTACATTCAACAAATTAACAAATTAATTTACAAATTTGAATGTCATTATGCTGTTAAAATTATATTTTAAACTAATTATTGCTATTTGGCCGAAAAATATAACTAATTATTACTATTATTTTGAAAAGGAATTAATTTTTATTTTGCATTATGCTTCAAATAATGATCGTGGTACAAGTTACATTTCATTTTATTAATTAGATTTTTTTTTCATAGAAAAACTGAACTTACAAGCGTTCAAAATAGTTTTAGTATTTTAATTTCCCTAATGAAATATTTGTTAAATTCGAATTCGAACTTTTCATCAAACGCTTGGTTTTATGTTTGTAATTAATCAGAATTTAAATTTACATTCAGGCTTCAACCGTATAGCTGGGAACAAAAATTCCTTGACAATAAACGGTCATCAACAGTAGTAACGACAAACGAGTCAATATAGTATAAACCCCTAATATCATGACAAAAAAAAAAAAAAAGAAGTATATACCCCTAATAGAAGAATATGTTGGCGCCACAATCAAATCTCACCGCTACACCTTCTCTTAGTCACTCAAAAACCCACGGCGCTGCCATCGTCGATTGTAATCCGTACAATATTTTTTTTCCTCCACGTGGACACTTGATCACCGTTGGATTCGTTGAGTCACAAATAACCTTCCATCACCGCCAACATCTCCCGCGGCTTGAGGAAGCATGGTGGCAATCCTCTCTCTCCTCGCGCTGACATCAATGAGGTCCTTCGTCAATTAGCCACGGAGGCCGGCTGGGTTATTCTCCCCGATGGCGCCACCTACGGCGCCAAGGTACTAACTCACACTTCAATCAATTTCTTGTGTTTTCTATTCCTCTGTAGATTTTCTCGACTACCAAGCACTACACGCCCCGCAAATAATGCATTCCGAGGCCGCCTTCTTTCTACCATTATGTAGACTAGATACCGTCTTCACAATGCCTTCTTCTAATCATCTGTTTTGTTTTCCATTCACGCGTCTTCAATGAGTCTCTCTTTAGACTACGGAACAGGGCGTCGCTAGCGGGGTATTTTATGATGTCTTTTGGCTTTGACTTTCTAGCTACTCACCCCACAATGCCTTCTACTTGTCTATATATCGTTTTCGGTTCATGGTTCCCTCATAAATCTATTGTACTTCATAATTTCTCCTTAAATTTCCCTGGGAAACCTGACGAAACAGAACAGGGAATCTCTTGCTACAAACTGAGTATATCCTGTGGTGTTCCTTCGGTCTTCTATGTTGTTGTTCCTCCCCTCCAAAACGCCCCAAGCAAACAGCGGGTGAAATTTTTCTAGGAAACCAAATAGGTAAGAACAGGGTATCTGTGATAACAAACTCGGCATGTTCTGTAATGTTCTTCCTCTCTCCGATTTTGTTTGTTTTTATTGTCGGTTTCATGATTCGAAGGTTTCGAATAACTGTCTCTTGTGCGGAGCTCTTCGGAAAACCCCCGCCACCATCCCCACACCCAACGGCGGCACCGTAACCGGGGTCGGAGGAGAGTTCGACGATGGCGTTGGGAGCCCCTTTATCAAACATCAATGATGGGTCTCGTTCGTTAGTCTGCTTTCCCGAGAGCCTAAACGACAGTTGTGGTCAACCCAACTCTGTTCCAGCGTATACGAAGCCAGAGCTCATCGGAGATGCCGAAACCATCAACGATGAAGGCGGCCGGAACCATAGGGACAATGGCATTGTGGAAAGCTCCGGGATGGCGATGATGACGTGTCAGAAACAAGGGGAAGAGTGCATTTGGAGGGCGTGAGCAGGTAGAATCAGAGAACGACAATGGAGTCTCCTCCGTACGACTCATGAGAGAAAATGGCCGACGTCGCCTCCTGATTGTTTCGTCATTTTGACCACCAACATGCCTCAGCTATTATGGATAGTTTAAGACTAGGGGTGTTCAGCCTAGACCCGTCTCGATTGGTCCGATATCATCTCGATCATATCGGGACGGGTCTTGTCCCGGCCCGAAAATAATCGGGACGGGACTTTACGGGACAGGACAGAAAAGGGGTTCGGGACGGGACGGGACACGGGATTACCATCGGGACGTCCCGTCCCTTCCCGAATATTATATATATTATTTTTTATTTTAAATATATTAATTATATTAATATAATTTATACTTATATTAATTATATCAATTATAATTTTAATGCTTATAATTCTTATTTAAAACTAAAGTTTTTTATATTGATAATTTTAATGGCATGGAGTAAATATGGCAATATCTTTCTTTATAATATATTAATTATATTAATATAATTTATTCTTATATCTATCTATTTAATAACTTTTATTTATAACATAATTCTTGCTTATTTTTAGAAGAGTAATTAGCTTAATCCACCTTCACTAAAATAGAAGAATAATGATTTGATATTGTGTTTGACTTGCCTGTTGCTAACTTATAGTATAAAAATCACTTATATTTGTTATTATAATATGTAGTTACGATTAATATAATTCAATAATTGATTTTAAATTATTGTTATTTATATGTTTGTGTTGTTTTAATTTTAAACTTAATAAATTATATGATTTAAAATTTTAATGAACGTTATTATTCAGATCTTTTTTTGATATTATTCCATTTATCGGGACGGCGGGACGTCCCGATCTTATCCCGGTCCCGTCCCGACTCTTAACGAGACAGGACGACTTTCGGGACGGGACAGGACACGGGACCAAAATTCAGTCCCGATCTTTTTTTCGGGACGGGACACGGGACGAGGGTGTCCCGGTCCCGTCACGTCCCGTGAACACCCCTATTTAAGACTATTTCAACAGAGAAAGGAATAGGAAGATTTTTCAGTTTTACTTTCTAAGACTCTCTCCTTTGTTTTGTATTTTTTTTTTTTTTTGGGACTTTTAGTGCGTGTGAATAGCTAGCGACGTTGCCGTTTGGAGAGTAGAAGAAAAGGCTTATTGTTGTAGAATCCCAGTGCTTGCTATGAACCAGTTATAGATGCAAGACTAGTAAAATACTCAACACACTTGAGACTTACCAAAGATTACTAAACGTCGATGAAATGCCAAAAATCGCTGAAGCCAAACACACTAACAAGGCATTGGCCTTCTTGAATAGGGGAAACGACAGTCGAGTATGAAAATACTGAACTAATTCAATATTAGAACCAATAGATTTGAGGGTACCAAAATAAGAGCTAAAGATCTTTTCAATAATTTGATATTTTTATTATTTGATTTGCAGCTTTGTTATCACAAATTTACAACTTAGATTTGTTTATTTATATAAAAGACAAAAACAGAATAACTTCAACTTGTTAAAGATGCTATTTGATATCAATGCTCTTTGATTTGTAATTTTGTGACTTCTAATTTGTAAATGAGATTCGTCTATTTAAAAAAAAAATGAATAGTTTCATAAGTTTCAGTCGTTTTATCCTCACCTTTCATTTGTAACTTTTTTTTTTTGGGGGTCAGAACCTTTCATTTGTAACTTGATAATCATTAATTTGCAAGTAAAATTCATCTATTTATGAAGAATAAAAGAAAATTTAACTTGTCAAAGGCTAGACACTCGTAGTTAAATACTTAAATAACTAAACGATCTTCTATCCTTATTTTAAATTTTCCAAATTTTTTGTCCTTGAATATGATTAATTCAATTATTTATCCTTAAATGTCATTTCTCTATGGAATAACTGCATAAATAATTTTCCCCAAACACAACATTGTAAATGTGGCATTTCTCCAAAAACAAAACATTGTAAATCTTCTACTGATGGGCTAGGAGAAATTGCTTCCCACTTCAGTATTTACCTTATAAATTTCTTACGTTGCAGGATTCTGCATTTGCATTGTCAAGTTTTGGGCTTTCCTCGAAGCTCCGTTCTCAACATACTGATAAAATCTAGGCTTTTGAAGAGCTCCTTTCTTTTCATTACTATGAAAGAAATGCGATACCCAAAAAAACTGAGCAATGAGTCCAATCAGAGAAGGGGAGCAGGGTAAGAAAATGATCGTTGATAAGGAACTTTCACCTTTGTGGTTGCAGTAATTCCCTAGGCAACAATCCTATGTTTGCTGTTACAAACACCTTTTTTTTTTGTTCACAGGTTGGGGCCCACTTACCACAAATGAAGTGCAAAACTCACTTCCAAGTTTTCACGGTAATCACTAACAAGTTCTTCTAGGACATCACAAGTAGAATCTCTCTTATTTCAGAAAAAGCCAGGGACTTCTCCTGGCATTGGAGCCAACTCATTCTTACCAAACCTCTCTTCATCATAAAATGAGGCTCGCACCACTCTACCTCCAAAGTACCTACCATCAAGGTCAATAATGGCTTTAGTTGTTTCTTCAGACCTCTCAAATTGCACAAAGATTCTGACGGCTTCATCAGGGGGGAAATTTGGCTCTGTTATCTCAAATATCAGGACCCGAGTTACAGTCCCATATTTGGCACATTCTGATCCTACCTCATCTTCAAGTTCATCATCTACCTCGCCAGGACCCACCTTCATGGCCGAAGTAAAATTAGTGACACACCAAATGCATTTATAGGTTGAACTGATTGGAATTGCCATCACACTTTTAACGGCATAGATTAAATCATAATAAATCAAAGCCAGCCAAAAAAATAAACCAAAGCCACGCACTCATGTGAGCATTTTCGCATACACGAAAAAGAACAAAATGCCATTCACAAAAATTACCAATTATTTCCAGAGTGCAACTATCAAGGCTGACTCTCTTGGTTTCCTTCAAAAACTTTGAGCTTTGTGATTTGTGATGGAAAAAGTAATCATATTATCATTACAAGTTACAAGCTAACCTTCAATATACCAAGTATAAATTTGCTCAAATGATCAACACATCTGGTTAGACAAAGCAGGGCAAAAAAAAACCCTATTGCAGTAAAGCATATAATTCAACCCATGTCTTTCTTGCTGTGATTAACACTGTGTTTGGTTGGTGGGGAGGGGAGGGGAGGGGAGGGAAATTTTTCCCTTTCACCCCATCTCAACACCCCCCAAAAAAAAAAAAAATTGAGGGAATTCCTCCCCTTCCTCCCCCTCCAACCAAATATAGCCTAAAAGTAACATGTTTGCCCCATTTTCAATGGATTTCATAGTTACCCTAAACAAATAAATATAAAAAGAGAAAATAGCTGGGAACACAAATCATCTTTACCATTGCAAGTAAACAGAACTAAAAACAAGAGTTATCAATAACCATTAAGAAGGCAAAGGAATATAACAATCACGTATTAATACATTAATCAACAAATCAACCCAAATTTAATGGATCAGACTCCATTACAATTAGAATGATCAACACTTACAAGGCACAAATTAACTGCGTCAATCACCATATATATCATTCAATTGACTGAATACCGTTCTTAATCATGCAAAAAAGTTGATACAGGAGAAAACAGCCAACAACTGTGCACCTTCAAGATTTCCTTTGAACAACATAAATTTGTGATATAAATTTGGAAGCAAGGGTAAAAGGGTTATGTTAAAATTGATAACTTTGAGTCTAATCTGAATATAAATTTCACTCATTTTTTGAGAATGAAAGTTCACATGCAAACCCCACCTAGTGGGATAAGGCTTCTTGTTGTTGTTGAAAGTTTACAAGCAAAATTCACAACCAGTTACCAGTGCTCTTTCAAGCTTAGAAAAAAATTGCTGTTAGGATTATAAAAGATATGGTTTATCAGAAAATTAAACGTTATAAAAATATGCAATGGGGGCAATGGCTAGTCAAAGGATAGCATGTAAGCTAATCAGACCACTGCACAGAAACCACTCTAAACGACTTTTTGTCCACTATATAACTGGCATTACACATTGCATCTCTGAAACATAAGCAAATGAGAAAGGCAGGATATTTGAACATGAATCTGCAGATTCCATAAACTATTACTAAGTGTGTGTTCATTTCAAATAGACAGAACAGACTGGTTTTGCAAAAATAAGCATCGGTATCAAATATCAATTTTGATGCATTACCATTTCTAGTTTCTAGTTAAATTGCATATGTTAATCATACTATACTGTATCCTTATTTCATGACAAAACGATGATTTATTTAAAGCTTCACATTGACCATCGAGCCGAATTATTCTCAGAAGACCAATCGGCACAGAGTATAAACAACAACTTAGCATTCATCAATTTCGATTTAACAGTTGAAAAGAAGCAAAACATAAATATGGATCATATTGAGCCACAAAATTTTCAATAGTTTTTAAATATAGAATTAGCACATGATTATTTCAGTTAAAGTTGTTTGGAGGGTATTTTGAAACAAGGCACGTAAACACAAATACTAAATCAGTGGTAATGAAGAATGGTTATATCAATATCAGCCACAAAAATGGCTAACAAAAGATCCATAAATGTCCGATGGAATATGAACCAATCGTGAATGATTCAGGAAATGTTTAGCCATATTTAGTTGCATAAGCAATAAAATCAACCACGGTGCAAGTTAGTCGATAAGCAGTATCGTTTCTCACCACATTCATGCACTCAACATCTATAGGTGGCAGCAAGATTCAAACACAAGTCAAAATATGCATACCATGTTCCTAAGCAGAAGCACCCGCGTAGGTTGCCCATTGAAATTCACACTCTTCAATTTCTTTTCCGGCTTATTATCACTAGCATTGACAATAACTCCAGCTCGTCTATCTGTTTTCTTGGCCATCAACGGAGTGGTAATTCCTTGCTCCTGCTTGCCAAGTCCTTGCCCTTCCTTCCATCCCATCTTTGCCATCATTCTTTGAGCTGCTGTCATTTGCCCACCTGCACCAAGCCCCAACCCGCCCGTTTCTGACTTGCCAATGCTAAAACCATCCCCGTTAGGAGGTGGCGATGGAGATCTTGGCACTGCTCCACTCATCGCCGCACGCCTTCTCCATGCCTCCTCCCCGGAAATGTTCAATCTCGAGTCCCCATATTCTCTGTCCTTCTCCTTCTCCAGCTCTTCTTTCTCCCTCCTCTCCCTCTCTTCCTCTTCCTGCCGTCTCCTCTCGAGCTCTTTCATTATCTCTGCCTCCCTAGCCTTCCTCTTCTTCTCCCTCCGATACTCCTCATAGTCGTTCGGCCTCGCCGGGTCATACTCCTCTATCACCGTCGATTGTACACCCACAAGAGCGGGTTGCGCTGCATCATCTGGCACCACCGGTGATGGTGCTGCGACTGGAGTCGACGTCACTGTCTTAGATGCGGAAGAATTGACAGTTTTCGGCTTGTTCTGGGTTCTCAGAACCGTCTGAGGAGGCGCGAAAACCGGTTTTCGAAGGGTTGCCGGAGCCATCTTGGTGCTACTTGACCATACATTGGTGTTGTTGGGTTTCTCTTCTTCGGCAGATGAGGGTGGAGGGAGGTCTCCATATAGCCCACCCAACATGTTGACACCTCTTTATCGCTCTGCAATCAAAATTTTGTGAAATCCAAAGAAATTCGAATCTGTGAGCTCCGACTACGCTTTTATTTTCCCTGCGGAAGCCCAATTTGTGGTAGGGTAGGTCCCTACAGAGAGTTCGACAAGTCAGAACTTGAGTAAGATCCCGAGTGGAACAACTTCTCCGACCTGCTAGAGAAACGTGGAGAGATTCAATGTCTCTGTGAGTGCTTGAGAGAGAAACATCAAGGAACAAGATGGGTCACTCCACAGAGATTGAGACAGTTCTGAAAATTCTAGCGTCTTCAATTAGGGCTGAGACGAAAAGAAAACACCCAGAACTCGGCAGTCGGAACTCGGAACTGACTCGGACGTAGTTAATGTCACCCCCCCCCCCCACCCCCCAATGTTATTGTTTTTTTTTCCCCTAGCTAACATAACGTCAGTATCAATATGTTAATGTTTTTTTTTTCTTTGGATAATGAAATATGTTAATGTTAACTTTGCATCTATCTGGCCTCTAAATGTTAATTAGGCTGAGGCCCGGCCACTTTATAAAGATTATTCTTAAAATTTTGGTCTAAAAATAAAAAGAATCCTTAAAATTTGAAATTTTATTACAAACTAAGAGCAGTGAAATAAAATCAAAATGTTAAGAAAAATGACAAAATTAATCCTTTAATTTTATAAAGCTATGCATACAAAAAACTCTAATAAAAAAATTAAGCACTTCAGTATAAAAAAATAAATAATTTTAGTATAGAAATTTGCAACTTTATTTTTTATGATAACAGTAGTTTAGAAAAAAAAAAACAAGTGAAGTTGTGCATACAAACAACTCTTATAAAAAAATTAATCACTTTAATATGTGAAATTTACAACTATTTTTAACATGATAACATCACTAAGCATAAAATAAAAAACAACTCCTTTAGAAAAAATAATTGTTTCAGCATGAGCAATAAACAATTACAATAAGGGGAATATGCACTCTTATTATCATGATAACAACATTGAGAATGAAATTAAGTAAAGCAATGCACACAAACAACTCCAATAGAAAAATTACCCGCTTCAATGTGGGAAATGAACAACTTCAATGTAAGAAATTTATAAGTATCTTTTAACATGTTTAAGCAACTAGAAACAATGAGGTAATTTTAGTTTATATTTTAATTTCATTTCATTGTCCTTGATTTGCAGTGAAATTTTTGACTTTAAAGAGCTCTATTTTTTCATTATATTTGGTCAAAGAGTTTAGACTAAAATTTTCTCAATATTATCTTGCCATTTAAAAAAAAAGGTTAAAATTTCATGCTTTATAAGTCTTAGTCTTTAAGTTTGTACTCATTCTCAAATCAACCTCTGCAATATATTCTATTTATAAACTAATCCTTAACTAATACCTTCATCACAAAGTTGATCCCTATGCTTGGCAAGGTTTGCCTATCACAATGGCAAAAATTGACATATTTATTTTGATGAGTTGTAAGAAAGGTGAGCTTAGTTGGCGTATGATTATACAATGATTGAGCCTCCAGATAAAATAACTTGATGTTTTAAAAGTCTTTGATAATTTCAAATGATGGAATGACATACTCTTGTCTATAAGGTATGGTTACTTAACAAAACTTAGATGTGTACACGTGTGTTCTACACAAGGTTATGCACATTATCCAAAATCAATACATTTTTTCCTTTTCCCTCCTTCTTTGTTTTTAAGTATGCACATGCAACATAGCAAACGATTTGAATTAATAGATTTATAGATTAACTAGATAGATTTGATTGATCATGGTTATCCTACCCATAACTTGGTCGGTTTGAATTAACTAGATTTTTGTTTCAATAGTCCTAATGACTTTATCGGCCCATCTTCATCATGCAACAAGGATATTACATCATTGTTATCATTGTTAATTAATTATGACTTTTTTTATGCTTAAAGCTTTAGGATGTTGCAAAATCATGCATTTAGATTTCAGGTATAACACATACTAATCCTCCTTTCAAAACTTGCCATCCAATATTCTTGTTAACTCCTCATTATGCCTCCACACCCAACCCTCCTTTAATAGTTTTTATCAAAATTTACCTTGCACCAACCCCGCTACTAAAAAACAAGCATTTTGTGATAGAATTTTTCCTAAATTTGCAATGGATATTCCATCACAAACAGAGTTGGTGACGAAATTTGTGAAGAAACAATGTTCGTCACTATTTTGTTATTGCAAATTTTTTGCGACAGAAGTATCATGTCCATCACAAAGTTGAGATGTTGTTTTTTGGGTGGATTTTGGCATCACAAATTTAGGACAACAAGTACTGTCATAAATCCATTCTAGATCCTTATGAAGGAATTTCCCTCCCACATTTGTCTCATATTTTGTGAAGGACATTTTTGGCTTAAATTCATCACAAATCTATTTCCAATGACAAATTAAAATTATGTATTCATTTATATAATTTTAGTTATTATTTTTTGCAATAATTTTAAAATATAATTTCCATCGTTACTTTTCTATTAACAATAACAACAATGATAATAACTTCTATATATAAAAGATAACCAAATCATTTAAAGAACCTAGTATCACATTAACTCAAAAGTATATCAGAACAATACTTAAACATCAAATCATACTTAAATCAATTAAAAAAAATCTAGAGTACATATAACATTATAATCACTAAAGAGAATTATCAACTTAATCAACTTCAAACTTCAATCATAATTGTCCATCACAAGCAAAAGATTCATTAGATCTTACAGCAACCCCCCAAAAAAAAACAAAGCATGTTAGTCTTTTTATGGGAGCTAGTACTGTTAATAAAATAATAAAACTAAATACAACAATAAAGAACTATCTTGAATAGTTTTTAGAAATAATTTAATGTGGTGTATGATGGAAAAGGCCATAAAAATGCAGAAATACATAAAGATATCATAATTTTTTTAAAAAAATTAAAAAATAAATTATTTTTTAAAAATTAAATCCATGAATATATTATAAAATCTCTACAAAATATATCACACACAATATTTAATTTTAATTATAACTATATATATAATATTATAAACATATAACATTTTTTAATTATAACAATTAATTTGTACTTGTATAGTTCAACACAAAAAAGTATTATTCTATGCTTATTTCTAATAATAATTAAAAATTAATATATGCATTAAAAATAATAAATTTTAGAAAATTTAATTTCATACAATTTTGATTTCATACCTATTACAATTATAATAAAATTTGTAGTTAGAGATTTCATGACATCTTTGTCACACATTTGGGACGGAAAAATTTGTAACAGAAAATTATGTCTCGATATTCTATCCCAAATATTTTGAGACGAAATTACTAGTCTCAAATAGCGTCGTAATTATTTGCAACACCAAATTTTGTTACAACATTTGGGACAAAATTTGTGGGACGAAATTGTTAGTCTCAAATTCCATCACAAATTTTTGGGATGCAGTATGCACAAACATTTGGGATGGATTTGTGATGCATTTATGCACACTTTTTAATTTGTCACAAATCACTTGTTTTTTGGTAGTGCCCACTATAATTTCTTCCCTATTTAATCTCTCACCACATTCTACAACAAGCAACATCACTACTTTCTAAAATCACTTCCACTTCATCGAAGTTAATACTTCCTCTCTCTTCTATAGCTATGTGAATACTTGCATTCTCTTGTAACCTTTCATTTTCATATTGCATTCCAAGTCCAGATATCATCCTCTACCAATTCGCCCTTCAAATGTTTATACGTGGCTAACATTGCGAAGAAGGCTACACTATGGTGAAGCCACACCACCCTACTATCACCTTCCTCTTGCTTAGGTAATAGAATTGCTCTTACACTTGACATACCATCACTACTCACGAGACAATATTTGTTCCAACACTCCAAACTTCTACTCCCCTCCAAGCACAACATAATCACTGACCCCATTATTTTTACCACTTTTAATTCTAGCAATAAGAGGAAACTTCGTATACAAGCATTTTATCATGCCAAAGCCTCCCCTTTTCACTATTGCAGTGACTTCATGAAGTAACTTTGCCTCCCATTACACTTTCAAATAAGAACTTTCATACATAGTTTCTTAAATTTTTATGATAATATGCTTATCTTTCATACCATAACTTCCCTCTTTCTTCTCAACACGTAACTTTTTCCATCTAACAGCATAATACTTCCTCTTCCATACACTAGTGCCCCATATAAGATTTTGTTTCACTCCCTCCATTTACTTGCAAACATTCTCTGACTTCTTACATTGCATCTATAATATAATGGGATTTGTTAGTCTTATGGATTAAACCATGGCTAATCTTCCTACTAACGATGAGCATTAGTTCATCCACCTATTCAATTTCTTGTATTAAAATTTATTGTTAGATCTTTTGCCCTTGGCAATGAAAGATCAAAAATACTTGTCCAACTCTTAAGAATGTTGAAAACCACATCTCTTGATAACCTCATCTCTATAGACACTTTTTGTAATATCATTTTCCTTCTAAGCTATGATTATTAGCTCTAAAATTTAATTAATAAAGAGATTGGATTAAGATAATTAACATAATACCAAGTTGTAAATGATTGGAAAAATGAGGATCTCAGGTGTTTAAAATTAAAATCATTTTCAAAGTCTTTAAAATAGACAAATCAAAGTTTACAAATATGTGAAAGTATGAGATTATTTCAAATATGAATGCATTTACTTAAGAATCAAGAAAACAAAGTGATTCTGCAAAAACTAAGGTATGTGTCATGGCTCGTCAAATATGCGCCCCAATGTATTTGTGCAATATTTGATAGTAAATTATGTTGTCAATTTGACAGCTTTTGGGGCAACTTTTGACATGCCCCAATCCTCTGTCCAATGTCCAATTAATGCGAACTAAGTATTTATGAAAATCTTTTTTTGGGTTCTAACTAATGGTTTTAGTTTTATAATCAAATTATTACCCAATTAAAATTTAGACACTCTTTTCAAAACTTACACTTTTTCAATATTTTTCTCAAAACTAAGTGTCCAATTCAATCACCAAAAGCCAATAGTCATTGACACAAATTCACATGCAAAACATCAAAACTAACTCGTGCGGTGCACCATATCATATTAAAACACTTAGAGATCACAATATCACTACTCAACCCCTCAATCTCAAAAACATATAAGGGGGAGTTCAAGTCACTTTTCATCACATATTTCATAATCAACATATATTATGCCCAACCTTTACTTGCATTAGTATTTTGACCTTATCGTATCATCAACTCACTCCCTAAGGCCCAAAATACATTTATAACTCACAAGCACATAATGCAAATAAGAACACAAAATGGACTAATTCTAATTGGTAATTTAAATTATCAAATATGCATAATAACTTAAAAATAAAGAGGCATACTAAATAAGATTGCAATCTTAAGCCTTTAGGTGCTTTCCTTTATCCGATCCTTTTGAGTTATTCTCTGTAATATTGAAGATAATAGGGTGAGTGCAACCACTAAGTAATTAAGGTTCAATTAACTTATACTAATACATGTCAATTAATTTAAATGTAAGCGACAAATATAATTAATTCTCCAAACCATATAAAATGTATGAGAGTACAAATTCACATTTCTAGGCATAATAGCACGTATTTAGGAAATAATGCTTTTTAAGAACTTCCATGTAGAAGAGAATTTGTCACACTATCAAATGACATCTCCTTGAGAGTGATTAAGACTCAATTCATGATATTTATCCTTAAGGTCACAACTCAAACAATCAAGTGCCCTTATTCACTATGTGCATGATCACACCTCCTTTATACCTTTCTTATTCCTCTAACATGAAACTATAGACTATAACATAATGAGATAGTCTATAATTCGTGACTTTCCTAGCTTAAACATTTATGAGGGGATTACCTAGTCAAGGCTCACCCAACTTATTGTGAAATACGGTTTTCTCCATTTCTCATACTATGAGGTGTCATACTCCCTAAAGGCCTAAACTAGCTTCCTCATTGAACCAATAGATAGTTAGCTAGGTTCGAGTCCCTCATTGAACAAGTAAGACAATATGAATATAATCAATTCGAGCAAGCCATCACTCGGATGGGAGCCCTACCACGTGAATTTAATTCTCTACTTCTCTTCCTAGGCGAACTCTCGCCTTTTATGATCATGCAATGCATATTTATATAATAATTTACATTTAACATAATTTATAGAACTTCACATAACCAATTTTATTGAACTCCACCATTTTACAAATCATTAAATTTCTTAAATACATTTTTATTGAACTCTAAATCAAACAAGTCATTGAATTCCAAATCTCAAAATTGTTGTACCTCACACATTCATAATCATTGAACTCTATAAATTTTAAAATTATTAAACTTCCAAATACACAAATCATTATACTTTATGTTTTCATAATCATTATAATCATTGTACTTTATGTTTTTAAAATCATTATACCTCACTCATTGAAAATTATTGAACTCTAAAATTTCAAAATCATTGAACTATATTAAATCATCACTTCAATAGTGGGCTCTTCAAACAAAACAAGCCATATTTGCATTTTAACCACTTTCACACTATTTAACTATCAACCATTATTCAACAAACTAATTAATACATAAAAATACAGGATAGAATTTCCCCGATTACCTCAAATTTTTAAGAGGTCAAAGGTTTCACACCTTAAATACTCACTCCTTAAGCTTTCAAGAAGCTAGAATGGTGCCAAAGATAGTCACTTTACAAGCATTTACAATTCAAATTATCAATATCTACATTTGGGCTAATTTTCACTAATAATTTAACACTTTTTTAATGCTTAAAATTTATTCTTGACTCATATAAAAGTACTTATAGGATTTTTTAGCTTCCTTTAACTCTCATTAATATCATGAAACTTTTTAATGATCATTAATGGGACCACATTGTTCTCAACTAATATATTTATGAGGATTTTCAAACATTTAATGTTTTTCAACTACCAACCATCATATATTCATAAATATTAAATTTACTTCGCTCAATCTACTCTCATTAACTCTTTTTAAGTTAATGGGTTTAGATCCATAGCTTTTATGAATCAAAAGTCACCATTATCAATCAAACCTTAACTTCTACCACTAAAAAAATGGAAGAAGATAGAAAAATTTAAGTGTAAGAAGCTTACTTTTGATGTTTATGAGCTCCAAATTACTCTCACTAGTCGGTTTCTTCAAGCCCTAGTACAGCTTTTCGGACTTTCTCTCGAAAATCTCTCTCTCTCTCTCTTTATTTTTGCAAGCTGCAGACAGGTCTGTTTTTACATAAAAATGTCCATGGGCTATGGCGGACGCACAATGCGCCGCGACGCATGGCACATAGAGGGCTTCCTAGGCATTTTAGCATGCGTGTGCTGCGATGCTTGATCTATAAGCCCTGGTGCACGGCACAAAACTTTGCCTTTCCATAATTTCTTCCTCTTTCATTCCCAGGTGACTTGATTCTCCTCCGGATCCATATTTAAGGTTGAAATTGAAAACAAACGAGCTCGTTAGGCCTCTCTAGCCACACATTTTGCTAATACACTTAATTAATCTAATTGGGCTCATTAAATCTGGTTTAAAATCAAGGATGTTACACTTTTTACCTTCCATAAAAGCAAGACTTAAGAAATGTCGCTAGCCAAACCTCTTATGCATTGCATCACAACATTAATATGATCTAAAACCACTTCACAAAAACATGAATAAACCATCAACAATCAAATATGATAGTTTTTTTAGGATGTGGTGTAAATGAATTGTCTTGTCTCAATCCATGTATTGCCTTGACTTTTAAAGACTTAGCTCCATTCCATGTTGCAACCATAGAAGTATATCAGTTGAGTAATGCGTTGTGGGGTCCCACCTTCATTGGCACTCTATCTGAAAACCCCTGTGCGATGATAGGATTTTTGAACATTGCTCTTAATTGCTATGTACTCTACTGTTTTATGTGAATAGTGTTATTTCTCCTTTTTTTTAAAAAAATTACCAAAAGGCAAAGCCTTCTTAAAATGCATATGGATGATTGCATGATTTTTATAACTATTAAACAAGTTTCCATTCAATAGATTCCAACAATCGAGAGATAGCTTTCTCATAATTCTCAACTTTTTAAGTTATATACTTGAACACTGCGTGCAAGTTAATTAGTATAGTTATTTGTTTACTTAAAGATGTGCTCATTAGATATCTCCTAATATTTTAGAATCAAACCTTGAATCTTCTTTTTATGAAAAAAAAGCTAGATGATCTCAATTATGAAAATTCAAATTGTTGGAAATCGTCTCTATAGAGGGTTAAAATACTCTATTATCCTTTCTATTCTTTTCTCCCAACATAGTTTTAAGCCTTTAGGGGCATCGATGTTTTCAAAACTGGATTGGTTATTGAACTAGAAGGATTAGTGGTTCATAGTTCGCATGGTTTGATAATTAAATTTAAAAATTATATATGTATATAATAATCTAAATATAAGAAATAAATGTGAAATTACTACTTAATTTAAAAACAAAACCGAACATTTTAAGTTTATCATGACTTGACAACCACATGATACAACATAGCGTCAAATAATTGAAAAAGCTTGTCATTTTCTAAAAAAAAAAAATAAAAGAAAAAGGGCATTTTGTTGAACAATTTGGTTTTTGAAAAATAAGATTTGAGTTCTAATCTGACCATCGATCCAAAGCAGCTCAACTTTCCAAATAGTTTTTCTAACTTGATAGAGCTGTTAGCATGACTGGTTGATGATCTAACCATCTAATTTGATTCATTTTTTCAATCATTGATGAATATACAATATTGATGAGTTAAGGTAATATCACAATTTCTCCATGAATTCACATCTCCAATATCTATGTTCTCACCGAAGTAAATCAAAGATAAACCCCAATTTCTTGCTTTTAACTCTATACAAGCTCCAAATCTAGTTTTCAATTAAAAATATATTTTTTTGATTTTATTTATAAATTATTTTTATTATATTTCATTGAAATCAAGAAAAATTTTAAACTTCATCAACTTTGCTTTTAAATTTAATAAATTTTTACTTTTAAGAACAAAAAAATTATTTTTAATAATTTCTTAATATTTAATAAGCATATATTCAGGTAAAGATGAATGTGGAAAATAATGAAATTTTTTCTTTCCCAATCTTACGAATGAGAATAGAGAAGTGTTACTTTTGACAAATAAATTTTACAATAAATACACATGAAAAATATTAATCCGTATGCTAGTTAATATTTGTCTATATTTTCGAGATTCGCTGATTCCACATGATATATTGCTTTCTATCATGAATGATTTCCCCCAACTCTATCATCAATGATTTTCAATAATGGAATGTTCTAACATATAATTGAATCATTCATGCACATGATTAAATAAAATATTAATATCAATGTTGTATTTTGGTATTCAAGGCGATACAAAAAAATAAATAGTAATCCTATGTAAAGATTTTACCATCACAATAAATGTAAGTTGAAATCAATCAATTAATATCCGAAACTTGTTCGGATAAAAAGCACGATGAATTGATAACTTATCAATGGCATTATTATTAATGACAAGTCAAATCGATTTAGGGAACAAAAATTGATTATAGTGTTGAAAAATTGAATGCTATCGCAGCAGGGGGACAATAATTCTCCAACTTTGGAGGATCAACTAAATTTAGCATCGATTGGAATTAGTTATTGCCTTTCACTCGTCCTGGTCAAATTTATGTACTTAAAATATTATTAGAAGAATTTCAATATTTCCACCATCACAATATAATTTGTTTGAAAAAAAAATTATTTCTTTCTGAATGGTCCTCTGAGTACAACTTAACCGTTACCGATTTTTATTTAACACGTTTTCGTCGTTTTATCATTTGATGAATTATTAATTATTTATTTAATGTTAATGTTAATTTTAATTTTCCTACTCAAGCTCGTTTATTCATTTTTCTAGAGAATTTATATACGATAGCATGAAAAACCATAAGATATTTAGATAGATTCACAAATATATTTCAGCCGTATGATCACATTACTCTATTCGCATCTCAACAGCCTTTTCCCCGCATTTGAATGTGATTTAGTTCTCTCTGCGATTTCTGGATTTGGTTGATGTGTGATCGATTTGAATCTTCGCGTTTTTGATTCTAGGGTTTCCTTTGGATCACATCCCTGGCCATTCGTCGATTGATCATTCAAAGCTTTTGGAAGGCTTTAGGGTTTCTGGGTTGGCAGATCCGTGTTCAGTTTGGTTCCTGAGGAACCATTTCTTCAACAATTCAACATGTTTTGGCGTATGACTGGGTTGTCCACAGCATCTCCTGTGAGTCTCTATGCTTAAATTTGGAGCCCCATTTCTCGTTTTCCCTTTAACATCACGTTATATTTGCTGTGTTCCGGGGGCTTTACTGGATGCGTGTTATTAGGTGGTCGGGTGGTTGTTGTTTTTTTGTTCCAGTCCGGAGCTTTTTATATCTTATTTTATGCCTTGATTTTCTTTTTGGGTCCCGGGTAATGGGAGACAGGAAGGAACTTTAACTTCAGCGGTTTCATTTGGAGGGACCAAGGATGATACAATTACCTTAGATGTTTCGAATTGAGTGCTATGATATATTGTTCACTTTACCATGCATAGCGTCATCGTCTCAATTTTCTGTTGATTTCATTGTTATGGTTTTGAATGAACAAGGTTATACTTCCTGGACTATTATGTGAATTAACACATATAGCAACATTTCAATGGGTCACATGCATTAAATTTTATTACACTATCTCAATTCAATTCTAATTTTGATTTCACAAACAATTAAAAAGAGGAACCAGAAAGAAGCCATGACTATCAATTCTGGGTTATTGATGTTTATGTGTTGCTTGACTGACAATTCCAACTCTGTTTTCTTGGATTTCATTTGGTTGATATCCAACATATTCATTGCGATTTCTTCTCTTAATTTGTGAATCAATTGATGTGTGATGGTGGTTCTTGATGTATTAACAGTCACAGGTGGCATCTTCTATGCTGACATTTGATTTAGTAGGAGAAACTGAATATATGCAAGTATTTTTAGCATATTTAAAATACTTGGTTTTCTTCTTGCGTGAGTGAGCACATGGAATACTCGACTTCGTATTAAACTGTTTCATAGTGTTTTGAGCCATTACTATGATTAAGTTGGCAAATTCAATTTCCAGCTATCAGATGGTATAAAGTTGTTAAAAGTGTAAGTGAAGCTTACTTCAACAATAAAATAATTCATGAATATTTTGCAATTATGTACATTGAAATCAAGATTGGAAATACCATAAGGTTGCCAAGTCATAACTAAATAAATTACCTATTTAACATTTTAAACTGTTCGGAAGCAGTCTGGTTTTGTGCCAAATAATAGGTTTTAATTGTAATTTGAACTTCTATTTTTGGTCGCTGTTGGATTGTGTTAATTCAATTCAATTTTTTATGTATTTAGCTACCTTTTTGGTGTAGTGATTGATTTCATCCACTCTGTTTTGTGTATTTAATTTCAGGTGGAGACGCTTTTGGATAAAGACAATTTCACTTTAGAAGAATTGCTTGATGAGGATGAGATTATCCAAGAATGCAAAGCTTTGAATAGTCGCCTTATAAATTTGTAATGAGCTTGCCATATCTACTGCTAGCGCAGTTATACCTTTTTTTGTTTGTTTGTTTAACTTTTCTTAGCAGAATTTGTAGTATTTTTAGATGCTTCATCTATTTATAAGAAATATATTCAAATATATCCCAGTTAGGTGGTAAAGAAGAATGCTATTAGCATAGTTCAAGAACTGATATCCATGCTTATATATTTTGACTTTATGGAGACAAGATTTTGAAGAAGGCTGTTTGTAATTTTTTAGTAATCCCTTCTCAATGAAAGTAGTTTAGGTTCAGTTTCTCAAATTGATGAGTTGTGAACAAGTGCTCCAGTTCTATTATTCCCAAGTCCTAGCAAAAAAAAAACATTTCTTTTTGGTGATAAAAAAACAACCTATATAGAAGAAAAATGTTTAATAACTATTCTAATTTTCTTCTACAGGCTTAACTTTGGTCCAGCTAACTCTGAAATATCTTTTCCTAGGGTTAAATTATATTTTTCATTAGCTTGGATGGTAATATCAGTGATGTTTTTAGGCTGAAATAGATGTGGGCCCCCATGCATTGCTTGGAGCCTAAAGAACGAGTTTCAATGTTGATGACTTATGAATAATGTTGTTTCTTATATATTTAATTATTTACTATTGATTGATATTGATGATATATTGATACTGATATTCCCCCATTTGGATATCCTGCAATCTGCAAATGTGGTGCTTTGGTATCATGTGTTTGGGCAGTTTGAGTAACTTGTTTTTTAATAATCAAATTGGTAGCTAATGAAGTTTTGTGTTGTCTATTGCAGTTTGCGTGGAAGAGCACAGGTCGAGAAGTTATTACGATACATTGTTGAAGAGGCTCCTGAGGATGCTGAAAAGAAGCGAACTTTCAAGTATGTTGATGAAAATGAACATAGATCTAAGTTTCTCTTTGGGAAAGTTTTTAAGTGACTACATGTTTTTACTACTATCTGTAACAGGTTTCCTTTTATAGCTTGTGAGATTTTTACATGTGAAGTTGACATCATACTCAAAACTCTTGTAGAGGAAGAGGAAGTGAGAAATCAGATTCTAATAGCTCTTTTATCTTAAAATACATTTGGAAAAGCTTTTATTGCTGACTGTGTTGCTTCTTGGCAGTTAATGAATTTGTTGTTCTCCTTTTTGGATCCAAAGCCATCCCATAGTAACCTGCTGGCTGGGTATTTTAGCAAGGTACTGATTTCTTGAGATTTGAAGTCTAGTTATTTGTGTATGAGTTTTACCATTTGTAAATTGTACTTAGCATTCCATTGGAAGTCTTTTCTGCCCCTGTATATATATATATATATATATATTTTTGGTTCCTTTAGCAAATTATTGTGGCCTTATATATATTAAGTTTTTTTGGTGCTAGGTTGTTGGATGTCTGTTATTACGCAAGACAGTTCCTTTCATGCAATATTTACACGTAAGTTCTTTCTTTATTGTTATTGTATTAAGTTTTTTGTACCGTGAGATACAGCCATCAGATTGAACTGTTATCTAATGAAGCTCAATAGAAAAGGCCTTTTTCAGAAGATTTAACCAAGGAGGGAGTGTGAAAGACTGGTGTGAGGAGATTGTTACATTAGTGTTTTGGTGTTTGAGCACCAGAACGTGTCTTTACTAGAGTGGGTATGCATAGGCCGTTCTACTGTGGGAAAGAATTTGAAAATGTTTATTAGAAGTATAGTGGTCAAGGTTTCAAACGCTCCTAATGTTGTAGTAATAGTAGTATTAAAAGGTATTAGAAGTCATGAATAGGGTGTGGGAAGGCATGCTGAATCTAAGAGTGGACTGGAGATTCTTTGCATCTTGAATTTTTACTGTGCTATCTTTTTTCTTCTGATTCCTGTGAAAGCAATTTTACTTTTCAATTCTTAAGCCTATCTCACTAATATTGGGTAAGACGGAGGTTTCTTTCTGTGACTCTCACGAGTACTATTTTGGTTTTCATAATGATTTGTGAATGACTGTTGCCGATATTTAGACCAATTTGTTTGCCCATGTATTCTCTTCCTTTCCTTTTTTTATGTCCTTTAGAAAATAATTATACTAGCTATATATTTGACGCAGAATACTAAATTCTGATTTTAATTGAGCTAATTGAAACCTTCTGTGTTCATTGGCATTATTTGCAATACGTTATACATGATGTTTCTCAGCTAGTCTCAGTTCTGCATGATATAACAAATTTCATGCGAACTTTGAAAATGCCTTCGTTTGGTGGTGTACTTTTGTCTGTTGTGAATGGCCTATTTATACCAAAACTTATGTATCTAGTGTAAATTAGAAGTGAAAAGTACAAGATTGAAAGTTCAGTCCACCTGTTCTAGTGAGGAAAGTGCATTTAAGGTTTTTATTGCATGTGAATACATCAACATGCCATCTGTTAGTCCTTGTGGTCTCCTTAGTCTTTATGTTAATTGCTTGTTTTACTATGCTTTCAATTTGTTCATTGTGGTCTTGGCGGAAGTTGCCATCAATGTGTCTGAATTGGGAACATATCGAAGACATCATTGTAATAGGGCCTTGAATGGGAGTCTGGCAGTGGTCGGCAGGTCTAAAGTGAGAATTACTTTTCTGAAAGAGGGAAAATGAATCTGTAGATGATCTGTTGTTCTCTAGTGGCCTTGCATGTGTAGCAACGGCTCTTCTGACTTGTCTCTTAAGGTTCTTGATTCTTGATTGTAGTAGTGATTAATCTTGTCAGTGGCTGTAGCAGACGATAAGATGTCCACCTTGGAGACCCAAAAAATTGCGAAAGCTAGAACAACCAAGTGAAGCACTTCAGCTCAACTGAATTGAACTGTAGCATTGAAATTATATGCCGTTAAGAGTCTAAAGTGTCAATGATAAACTGGCTTTGGTCTAATTTGAGTCTTTTAATAGCAAGTGGTCTTAACATGCAGCATTTCATTTGATTGCAAGTTTGATCTTTTTTCCCCACTCTAACACAGCCAGTGGGCTTGCTTTTAACTGAATTTATTTAGAGTTTAAAGTGTCACAAGATCAACTGTCTTTGTGATTGTTGAAATTTCAACAGAACTTATGAAAGCTAGGGTTGTTATGGCAAACTCTGATGTTAAGTTCTATACAGTTGCTCATGACCTGTTCTATACGGTTACACATGAGCTGTTCTGTCCATGATTTAATTTGAGTCTCTTAATTTGTCAATGATACTTTTAGCATTTCATTTAATTGTAAGTTAGTTTTGTCCTTTTATTAGACTAACTCAGCAAGTGGGTTGGGTTCCCTTTTAACTGAATTTATTATGAGTTTAAAGTGTTGTGATGATAAACTGCCTTTGATCTTGTTGGAATTTCAATAAAACCTACGAAACCTAAGATTGTAATGGGAAACCCTGATGTTGTTAAGTTTTATACAGTCGCTTGTGACCTGTTCTATATATAGGGATAGGGATGAGGATGGAGAATAATGCTAATCTAGTATAAAATGACTTCTGGATAGTTTAGTCATGCTTTTTTTTTCCTCAATTTCAATTTCCTGTTGGCTGATATGTTGTCCTTGTGGCTATCCAGGCACACCAAGATATTGTAAAGAAGCTGGTTGACTTGATTGGAATTACATCTATCATGGAGGTATGTTTTGGCAACATCTATTCATGCTTTATAATGTTGAACTCATTGGTTACAACTTCGCATACGTTTCTCTGATGTCCGAAGTTTGTTGCTAACTTTATATCTGAATATGAGGGTGGCTTACATGATATAGTTGGAATTAATATTTTAGCTGTTAACTATTCCTATTGGTTACTGAAGTTAACTTACCTGTATTGTGAGGTTTCCGTAGATTTTCTGTAATTTCTGTTCTGTTTTCTTCTGTTAAACAGGTTTTGATACGCTTGATTGGTGCTGATGAGCATATGTATGTAAATCATGTGGATGCAATGCAATGGATTGAAGACACTGACGTGCTTGAGATGATTGTGGACAAGTTCAGTTCTTCAGTAAGTAGTATCAATTTCTAAGATTCTATATTATATGAACTTGACCAAGGGCTATCATAATCCGTCCATATTTAAAAGTATCTTTTTGTGTGTGAATGGATTAGATTGATTGCATGTGCTGCTGTTTGTTCATGCATCAATGAGAGCCGAGGGAAAAACTCAACTAATAACAAAAGCTCTCAAACATTTTATTGGTTGATAGCATAACAAGGAAAACAGATTGTTCGCTGCTGGTGTAACAGTAGCAGTGCAGCACCTCTTGCTATTCCTGCAACAGCAGATGTCGAGTATCTAGATTTTATCTGGAAGGCCTAGGTTTATTTAATTTTTAATTTTTAATTTTAATATATATATATATATATATCTTATAATTCATGTAGCCGACTATATCTAGTGGAATAAGGTTTATTGTTATTGTTGAATATTTATATATCTTATCTTTGAAAGAATGAGGACACAGACTAAACATATCTTTTAATTGTAAGCTTTTAAACAATGACTATTACAGAGAATTTTTTTAAAAAATTATGAAATCTGGATTGTTCTATCGATGAACAGCGGATTGATGGAACTCTTGGCATTGCTTTGTTTTTCTCTCCTTTCCTATCAGCGAGTTCCGATCCTTTTGTTCGCAAGTTCATCGTTTGTACTGAACTGCATGCAGAATCAAATCCTGTGCCACAAGATCCTATATGAGCTATACCCCTCCTTGCATTTATGCTAGAGGCGTTGCCAGTGCTATGAGCATTGGATTATGTAGATAAAGAACCTGGATGGTCTAAATTTATTGCTACTTTTGCTATAGCTACACTTCCCTTTTGCTTTACAGTAGTAATCATATAAATTGGCATCGATGGATGAATACAACATATTCACGCCAATATTCATATCAATACAACAACAACAACAACAACAAGCCTTTATCCCACTAGGTAGGGTCGGCTACATGGATTGCAAGACGCCATTGTGCTCTCTATCATTTATCAAGCTTTTAGGAATATTATTAATTAAGAGATCGCGCTCAACAACTTCCAAGAGTGTTCTCTTAGGCCTTCCTCTACCTCTCTTAATCGGACTCAAAGTTATATGTTCCACTCTTTTCACTGGTGCCTCCCTTGGTCTTCTTTGTACATGCCCAAACCATCTCAACCGATTTTCTACCATTTTTTCCTCAATAGGTGCCACCCTCACTTTTTCGCGTATGTGCTCATTTCGAATTTTATCTTTACGTATATGTCCGCACATCCATCGTAACATTCTCATCTCTGCTACTCCAACTTTATGCTCTTGCTGTCCCGTTAGAGCCTAGCATTCACTACTATATAACATTGCCAGTCTGATAGCAGTGCGATAAAACTTTCTTTTAAGTTTATTAGGCACCTTACGGTCACAAATAACTCCTTTAGCTTTTCTCCAATTAAACCACCCAGCTTGAATTCTATGTGAAATATCTCCACTGATTTCGCCATCATTTTGAATAATGGCTCCCAAATATCTAAACTTTTCCACTTGAGGTATAATTTGATCTCCCAATTTCACTTCCAAATTATTGTCGAATATTCTTTTACCAAATTTACAATATAAATATTCTGTCTTACTTCTACTCAGAGGAAAACCTTTCGACTCCAATGTCCTCCTCCATAACTCAAGTTTACAATTAACCTCTTTTCTTGTCTCTGCTATAAAAACTATATCATCCGCGAAGAGCATACATTTCGGGATTTCCTCTTGAATATGTTCCGTCAAAACATTTAAAATCAAGTTGAACAAATAAGGACTCAGAGATGATCCCTGATGTAGTTCAATCTTTATAGGAAAATCCTTTGTTTGACCACTAGGTGTTCTTATACTAGTTTTTACCCCCTCATACATATCTTGTATGGCTTTAATATAAGCAATCCGTACTCCCTTTTTTTTCAACGCTTTCCAAAGCACTTCTCTTGGTATACGGTCATAAACTTTTTCCAAATCAATAAAAACCATGTATAGATCTTTATCTTTACAACGATACTTTTCCATTAATCCCTTTAGTAAATAAATCGCCTCTGTAGTTGATCTACCTGGCATAAAACCAAATTGATTCTCAGAAATACTTGTCTCCAATCTCAACCTGTGCTCAATTACTTTCTCCCACAATTTCATTGTGTGGCTCATGAGTTTAATCCCTCTATAGTTAGTACAATTCTGAATATCTCCTTTATTTTTATAAATAGGAATTAATGTACTTCTCCTCCACTCATCAGGCATTTTCTTGGACTGTAAAATCACATTAAATAACTTAGTTAACCATCTCACCCCTTCTTCACCTAAACATTTTCATGCTTCGATAGATATACAATCAGGTCCGTTGGCTCTACCATTTGCCATTTTCTTAAGAGCTTCCTTTCCCTCCCTATCACGTATTATTCGATAGAATGACAAATTTTGTTCTCCTTCACCAGTTACTAAATCCTCCAAATTACTAGATGAATCCTCTCTGTCATTGAAAAGTTTAAAAAAGTAAGTCTCCCATCTATTTTTAATTTTATCATCTGTAACTAAAATTCTTCCCTCTTCATCTTTAATACACCTTACTTGTTCTAGATCTCTTGATTTTCTTTCCTTACTCTCGGCAATCTTATAAATATTTTGCTCTCCTTCCTTCGTCTCAAGGTTCTTATAAAATTCTTCAAAAGCTTTAGAACGAGCTTCACCCACAGCTCTCTTAGTTTCCTTCTTAGCCATATGGTACCTCTCCCAATTTTCCTCATTGTTACACAAATGTATGGCTTTAAAACAGTTCTTCTTATACTTGATTTTATCCTGTACACTATTATTCCACCACCAAGACTCCTTATCTCTCGGACCAGAACCTTTCGATTCTTCCAAAACTACTTTTGCAATCTCCCGTATCTTTTTAGCCATATCCTCCCATATGATGTTAGCACTTTTCTGAGATTCCCAAATTCCTTTATCCAAAAGATTTCGCTTGAAAATATCTTGCTTCTCACCTTTTAATTGCCACCACCTAATCCTTGGTGTTACTACTTGTCGACATTTTTGGATTTTACTCATAATACACACATCAAGGACTAGGACCCTATGTTGTGTCCTTACAGCATCTCCGGGGATCACCTTACAATTTTTACAAAGTCTTCTATCTGTGTTCCTAACCAAAAGAAAATCAATCTATGACCTTGAAGCTCCACTTTTGTAAGTGATGAGATGCTCATCTCTCTTCTTGAAACAAGTGTTGGCAATCTTAAAATCATACGCTAATGAGAAATCAAGAAGAGTTTGTCTTTCATTGTTTAGCTCTCCAAAACCAAAACCACTATGCACCCTCGCATACTGACCAGCTTCCCTCCCAACATGCCCATTAAAGTTCCTCCAATAAAAATCTTTTCACTCTGTGGTATATGTCGAATCAACCCCTCCAAATCCTCCCAAAATAATTCCTTAAGACTGGCTTCTGTCCTGACTTGCGGCGTATAAGCGCTAACAATATTAACAGTCTCACGTCCAATTATCATTTTTAAGGAAATAATTTTGTCTCCAATTATGCTAACTTCTACAACGTTCTTCTTCCACTCCTTATTTATAATGATGCTTACTCCATTGCGTGCACTTACTTTTCCTGTATACCAAAGTTTGAAACCTTGAATATCCTTAGCTTCTTCTCCACGCCATTTTGTTTCTTGCAAGCAAAGGATATTGATTTTTCTTTGAATCATAACCCCTACAACTTCTACAGATTTACAATTTAATGTCCCAACATTCCAAGTACCAAATCTAATTTTGCTCTTATGGACTAACTTCTTTAGCCGCGTGCGTCCAGAATGACGCGGTAGCCCTTGCTCATTTAACACTACATTCGGGCGCCGATGCAGCGGCTCTAACTCACTTATCACTGTACTCGAGCCATGCAGCGCGTTACTTACGGGCAACGACCAAGTTTTGTGTACTTGAGCAGATTGGTAAAGTAAAACAGCCAGTCCCTCTTTTTTGGGATTTGGATCCTCACAATCAATATAAAATATAAAAATATATAACAAGCTACACCATTCATATAACAAACTATGTCTTATATATCCATTCATCAAAGTTTGAGAATTCATCAACTCGCATAATGCCAAATTAGTCATCTAAGATGATTAGGTTGGTACCAAGTGATGAACACCATTTTTCCTCTTGAAGGCTGAAATCAATGATGAATTGGAAGGGCTTGAATAATCAGTAAGAAGAACAATGATTGCTTGACTCTTGACTCCTAGGAACCTACTTGTGATTTGATCACTTTCACTCGTATACTTGCTTGCTCTTTACTTATGTTGTTGGTATAGTTGTCTTTGTTTCCACTTTGACTCTTGAAATCAACTCTTGGTAACTGACTTGTAACACTTGGAGATCACTTTGAAATCAATTTGGATTAGCTCTTAGGGAAATGACCTAGATTGTGCCCTATACACAATAGGGTTTAAATCTTGTCTCAGATTCTACTGTAGGGATGTGAACTGGCCTATGTACAGGCAACCTAAGCCAAACTAATTGTACTAAATTCCAAATGACATATGAAGACCCTGCCCAGCTTAGAATGCCAAGCCCCTGCGTTCAGTTTGTGGAAGGCCAAACTTTTTGGGTTAAAAAAACAGTAAATTACTTTTAAGTTTTCATGAAAAGACACTAAGTGACTTTTGATAATGGTTGGTCTTGTGGAAGTATGATTAAATAAAGGCTAGACCTTTATGCGGTTCCTTTTACGATAAATTCTGCGGAACTGTTGGAAAAAGATGGGAATTAGGTAGGAAATCTCTATTAGAATGTGAATCAGGATCTGAAATCCATATCCTAATAAAGCCAAAGAAGAATCTCCAAGATCCTTTCTGAATACCACTTCACATCTTTATTACTTAAATTCTGATGATTGTGCATGACATGCACATTACTGATCATAACTGACAACATATGACTAATTGCTTAAACGAATGGCAGCACTTCACAACTCCTAAACACCTGACAACTCATTGAATAATATACAACTCATCAAAATTACACTTAAACATTTGACAACTGAGATAAAACTATTCCTCCCTCATGAGATCATGTCGAATAATCCTAAGAATCTGACATTCTAAGTTTCTTCTACTTCCTACTGTATCTGAGATTAGGAAGATAATCTTTAGAAGGAATTCTATCATTGTATCCTCACTATCAAGTTTTTACAATCAAAAGATGACAAGTATATGGTTCTTTAATGATAACATGGCAGTTGTTTGATTTGATTGGGGAATCATAAAGTTGTATGCAAAAATCATACACTTTGTCATGTTATTTGTTACTGAAATCTGGCAATAAGAACATTAGGAATTGCATGTAAGTCATGCCACTACTAATCATTGTGCAATGAAAATGTATCTGCGGGGAACCTTCTCTTTCCCAAGAGTGTAGCAACTGAGTTCCAGGTATTTGTGTTTTCATTCTTTATACTAACACTTACCATTTATTTGTCTTTTACAGGATTCTCCAGAAGTGCATGCTAATGCAGCTGAAACACTCTGTGCCATAACAAGATTTGCTCCACCTGGGTTTTCTTCTAAAGTCTGCAGCCCTAGGTAGGGGTTTTCCTATTCTAATCTTGTTGCATGTGGTTGTTAGTGCTGTCTTAAGTTCATGTATTCTTTTCTTCCTCATATATCTTAATAACTGCCTCGGATTTGCAGTTTTATTGGGAGATTGTTTCAACATGCTTTAGAAGACTCTCGGCCAAAGTCTGTTCTTGTTAATTCTCTTTCCATATGCATTTCTTTGTTGGACCCCAAGAGGCATACTTTTGGGGGATATCATTCATACAACCGCCAAATGTCCAATGGACCCACAGTAACTGCAAATCCTGAGGCTGTTGAAGGCATGTTAGAAAGCCTAGGTAAGGTTGCGTTATCTTGTCATGATTTCAGCTAACTTTTTTCTAATAAAAGTTGGATCACCTCAATTTTTTTTAAAGGTTATTCTGCTTTTAAATTTTGTAGAAGTGATAAACATCATTAGCATCATTTTATCCTTATCCTAAGATAATTTGGAGTCTTTGTTTCTATTTAAATTAGGTTAAGTCAGGATGCCTAGATTATCTTTTAGATTTATTTTGAGCAAGAATTAATTAGGTGTTAGTGGTATTTATCTTTTATCTTATCATTATCTTAGTTTAACTAGCTCTATAGATAGCCCTGGATAGTTTACTTGTGGTGAATTGAATAATGTAGAAGTTATTTGCTTTGCATGTCTCACTCAATTTCTTCTAATTCTCTCTGTTTCTTCTTAAATTCTCCTACCTTCCCCTTTCGTCTACTGTTTTGCATCAAAGTGGTATTACAGCAAATTGATTCAAAGCTCACACCACCCTAAGGGGGAAGGTGTTGTTTTAGTGATGTGAGTAGAAGTGAAGATGGGCGTTCAATTTGAATTGGAAAACATAGCTCACGATTTTTTTCTGATTTTTTTTTGTAGCTTCTTATGGATATCTATTTTATTTACTCTTCCAATACTCGATTTTCTTTTGTGTTGTTACTTTTTAAGATGTTGATATTGTAATATGGTAGATGCTCATGATAGTAAAATGGAATAAGAGAAATAAATCTATTAAGATGGTATAAAACAAGAATCTTGTTCTATACTTCTCTCAATAGCCACGCTTAGAAAAATCTCCAAAGGGTTTGAAAGACTGTTTTATTGATTGATGATATGCTAGCTTCTAAGTTGCTAGTCATATTTATACAGCTAAATACAATAAAATGTTGAATAAAGTCTAGATAACTGGATAACTAAATAGAATCTCCTAAAATCCAAAATACTAGAAAAATCCAAATATCTAAAATATTGAATTAAATCTAAACAACTAAATAAAATCTAGGAAAATCTAAATAAAAACTAAATAGAGGAAAATACCAAATAAAATACTAAATAAAATACTGAATCAAATAACCTATCTTAATTATCTTAATTTATCCTATTTTATTTTCTGATGCTTCCTTCTTGAATAAGTCTTCATGGGCACGCTATCTAGAATCTTATCATTACCCCGCCCTTGAAAACTCAACTTGTTGTCAAGTTGAAAAGAGGGGAATTGAACACGCAAGAGGTCGTAGTCCTCCCAACTTGCTTCCTCCATAGGTCGCTCGTGCCATTCCACCAGTAGTTCAAGTGAATGATGACGGGTCCAACGATGATCTAAGACTTGATAGGGCCTCACATGTAACTTAAAATCAGCCGATAGTGGTAAAGAAGCTGGTGTAATCGGCGCATCCATCCCATACGTCGGGTGTAGGAGAGATACATGAAAAATAGGATGACTATGAGCATCTATTGGAAGTTCCAACTCATAGGCCACCTTTCTAATCCTTTGAATAATCTTTTAAGGACCAAAGAAGTGAGGTGATAATTTTTCAAACTTCTTCTTGGTCAGTGATTGTTGACGAAAGGGCTGTACTAGTAGCCACACTACATCACCCACGGCATACTCAACTTCTCTTCAACGATTGTCAGCATAAGCCTTCATTCGGTCCTGAGCCTTACATAAATCGTCCTTTAAAAGTTTGAGCATTGCATCTCTAGTTTCTAGTTGATCTTTCAATTCAGCTACAGTGGTTTCGCCCCTGACATACGGACACAAGGGCAGAGGATCTCTTCCATATACTAGCTTAAAAGGAGAATGTTTGGTTGATGTATGATGACCTGTGTTGTAGGAGTATTCAGCCTAGCAAAGAAACTTGTGCCATGGCTTAGGTTGCTCATGTGCAAAAACATCGCAGATAGGCTTCAAGACAGCGGTTGACCACCTTTGTCTGACCATCAGTTTGGGGATGGTATGCAGTTCTCATTTTTAATTTGGTCTGTCTTAATCTGAATAATTCTTGCCAAAAAGAGCTCGTGAAGATAGGGTCCCTATCAGATACTGTTGAGTGAGGCACCTCATGTAACCTAACAATTTCCTCACAAAAGATTGTGGCCACTTTTTTGGTGGTGTATGGATGTGCAAGAGCAAGGAAATGGGCATACGTACCCAAACAATCTACTACTACCAAGATGACCTCAAAACCTCCTGACTTAGGGAGACTAGTGATAAAATCAAGTGAGATATCCTCCTAAATCTAAGAGGGTATGGGTAATGGTTGTAGAAGTCTTGCTGGAGCCAAAGTTTGATACTTATTTGCTGACAGGTGGCACAATGCCTCACATGTGTCTTTACATCGGCCTTCATGGTAGGCCAATAAAAGTTCTCTGATAGTCGCTTGAATGTTTTAAGAAAACCATCGTGTCCCCTAACTGCAGTCGAGTGGGCTTTTGCTAGTAACTTCAGTTGTAGTTGGGATGAGTAGGGAATGACTACTTTGTGGTCATAAAAAAGTTTTTGATCAACCAAGTGGAATCTAGGTTGAGACAATGGATCTTTCTGTAAGTCCTGCAGTATTTCCTTAGTGAAGGGATCTAATGCTAATTCAGAGGTGAGGTCATGAAGCTTGGTAGCGAAAGGGACTGCCAATTGAAAAAAATCTGCATGCTGTGGTTGTGATAATGCATCAACTCCCTTATTTTCCACTCCTGCCTTCTGGATGATAGTAAAATTAAATGGTAAAAGCTTGATGATTAACCTTTGTTGGGTTTGGTGGTGATGCGGTGTTGTAGCAAATATTGAAGACTAGCGTGATTTGTTTTGACACAAAAATGCCTCCCGAGGAGGTAATGGCACCATTTTTGTATTGCAAGAACTAACGCTAAGAGTTCACGATCATAAGTGGATTTGAAGCAATTAGAGAATGAAAATCTTTTACTAAAGTAAGCAATGGGATGGTTGTTTTGTAGGAGTATAGCTCCAATCCCTTCTATGGATGCATCGAATTCAACTACAAATTCTGCCTCAAAATTCGACAACTACAAGACAGGTGCCGTCATCAATGCAAGTTTAAGGTGATTAAAAGCCTGCTGAGCTAGTTCAGACCATAGGAAGGCATCCTTCTTAGTCAATTGTCGTGCAATAATCCCAAAATTCTTCACAAAACGTCTGTAATATCCTGCAAGGCCTAAGAATCCACGTAACTCCTTTACATTTTTAGGGACAGGCCATTCTCGTATTGCCTCCACTTTTTCAGCCTCAACTTCAACCCCTTGGGTAGAAATGTGCCCTAAAAAGGGAAATCTTGGTCGTCCAATGAAGCATTTTTTAAATTTACACAGAATCCATTTTCTTGTAGAGTTTGGAATACGGTGTGTAGATGTTCTTGGTGCTGTTGAAGAGATGAACTGTAGATCAAGATGTCATGAAAAAAGACTAGTACAAATTTTTGCAAATAGGGATGAAATAAATCATTCTTGGTAGATGCTCACGATAGTAAAATGGAATAAGAGAAATAAATCTATTAAGATAGAATAAAACAAGAATCTCGTTTTATATTTCTTTTAATAGCCACGCTTAGGAGAATCTCTAAAGGGTTTGAAAGACTGTTTTATTGATTGATGAGATGCTAGTTTTTAAGTTGCTAGTCATATTTATAAAGCTAAATACAATAAAATATTGAATAAAATCTAGGTAATTGGATAACTAAATAGAATCTCCTAAAATCCAAAATACTAGAAAAATCCAAATATCTAAAATACTGAATTAAATCTGAAAAACTAAATAAAATCTAGGGAAATCTAAATAAAAACTAAATAGAGGAAAATACCAAATAAAATACTAAATAAAATACTGAATCAAATAATCTATCTTAATTGTCTTAATTTATCCTATTTTATCTTCTGATGCTTCCTTCTTGAATGAGTCTTTATGGGCACGCTCTCTGGAATCTTATCATAATATTTTAGAAATTGTCATCTCTCGCATGCTGTAACTATGAGCTGTTTTGGCCTATGGATAAAGGGTGTGATTATTATCTCAAATTATCCTCTATCTTTGGACACTCCTGCATAATTTGTTAGACTTGCCCTGGAATAATTACAAGTTTCTGAACAATATGCAAATAGATATAACTTATTTATTGTTTTATATAGCCAGTTTGACCCATTATTTTTCTTTTGCTTTTGTTTTAAGGAGGATTCCTTATTCTCCACGAAGATGTACTTGCTTTTCTTTGCAATAATGCATTCTTTTATTTAAAGAGGAAAAGAAAAAAGAGTTGGTTAGGAATTTTGAACGCATAACAGTATCTCATCTCATGTAAAAGTGCATTATCTGTTCTGTATTTTTTCTTGACAATTGTATGCTCAAATGAGAACATGCTTATGAGTTTCTTATTCTGCAGGTGGTTTACTCGAGCTTTTAGACATTTCTCCTTCAGAAAGTCTCTTGGTAACTACTTATGGCAAGTTACAGCCACCTCTTGGGAAGCATCGGTTAAAGGTATACTAATTACTAGGAATAATTGTATGGTTCTAGAATGTGTCCCTTGCACTGCAGATATGGGGACAACTGAGAAAAAGAAATAGCCATATTGGTGATTCCCTGTTAGTAGTTGAGTTTTGAACATTTGTTATTCGTTACCGTAATATGACTTGCCCAGGCAATTACCTTATCTTGTGTTTGTCAGATTTTTTTATTAAGGATTTCTAACTTCACACTTTGTATGGGCAAAAGTAGCCCATTAGGTTTCTTTTTAGATTTCAGCCCATTGTGTTGTAGTAGGAAATTTTTTTGATCTGTTGCTATATCTTTTTCCTTGTATACTTTTTCATTGTTAATTATTACCCTCCTTCTTTGTGCTCCTTACTTGTAATTTTTCAAATAATTATAATATAACTATACATTGATAGTCACACACACGCTTGTTCAGATTGTAGAGTTTATATCAGTCTTACTGAGTGTTGGTGGTGAAACTGCTGAGAAGAAATTGATTCATCTTGGAGCAGTGCAAAAAATTCTTGACTTGTTCTTTGCGTAAGTCCAGCAACTTTGTTTTCTTTCCAAAGTCAGTTGCTCCTCTGCATTAATGCACTGATTAAATGTTGTAGGTACCCGTATAATAACTTTCTGCATCACCATGGAGAGAGCATAATAATATCAAGCTTGGAGAGCAAGAATTTTGCTCTTATTGAACATGTTCTTCGTGAGTGTGATATTGTTGGGAAAATACTGAATGCAGAGAAGCATTTCACGTTGGAAGCTGATACAAATAAGGCACATGATTTTTTTTTTTTGCCCCATAGATGTTATATCTTTATGAATGCTTTCCTATTTGTTTTCTCCACAACCTTTTGATGCTATTGCATCTATCTTTCTGGAGAAATAAATATCTTAATGTTCCAATCTGTTGATCAATTTGTTCCAGCAGCCAACAATACCTACAGAGGGTAAACCACCACCCAGGATCGGAAGTATTGGGCATTTAACCCGTATATCTAACAAACTTGTCCAGGTTGGGAAGGGCAACAGTGAGATTCAGGCACATCTGCAGGTAAATTACTATTTCTTTCCATTTTTATTGGAGAATTTCTTATTGATTGAACTTGTAATGCTCTACTGTTTAGTGTCTTTTGATTTGTTGCCTCTTCTCTCCAGCTAGTGATTACCTTGTGTTTATGTCATAGTTGTGCCCCAAATTCGATGTTGAAAGGCTGCAACATAATCATTTATGGTGTGTTTGGATTTGGATTTAAACCAAATCCCTCATTTGGATACAGAAGTCTATGAATTTGGTTTTGGTTCAAATTTAAATTCATTTCAAATTATAATTCTTTTATAATTTTAAATTTCCTCTGCACCCTAATCATTTGAAATTCTAATCATTTCAAATATCTTGTTCTCTTTGCATTTTCTCTATCAATACCTGACTCTTGTATCGTAATGAATGGGTAGATGTTTATTTCCAATCAATTCAAATGCTACCTTAATTTATTTTCAAATGTTTGGTATTGACAGGAAAATAGTGAATGGACAGATTGGTACATGAATGTTCTAACAAAGCGAAATGCTATAGAAAATGTCTATCAATGGGCATGTGGGTATGTTTTCTTTTTTCACTGTATTACTATCTTGTTAGTTTCTCAAATATTTCTTGAGTTTCAACTATTATGCTTTTAATTTGATCGGTATGTTTATATTTTGGCTAATGTTTTAGGTCTAGGGCATTCTCCTTTCCATGTGCTTTTATTTGTCTCCTGTCTTTGAGACACACTTCTAATTATGCTGATTGATTGTTACAGGAGACCAACATCATTGCATGACAGGACTAGGGATAGTGATGAGGATGACTATCAGGACCGGGACTATGATGTTGCGGCATTAGCAAATAACTTAAGCCAGGCTTTCCGTTATGGCATTTATAATAATGAAGACATTGAAGAGGTTTTTTTCCCCACAAGGGTGCACATGTCTTTCTGCTGCTGCATCTGCATTTATTTTTTGGCCAATTTAACTAGTTGTGATATAGAAGTATACAGGAGTTAGAACCAACTTCAACTGGACCGGCACTGATTGTCTTCTTGTTGGTCTACTGTTCAGTAAGGGATGTTGTAAAGGCTTTAAAATAATCCTCTTCAATAACCAGAAAGAGACAAGTTAAATACAAAGGTGCCTTTTATGGGGTAACGTAGTCTCCCAGATAGATAAACACTGTTTGAACCCACCATTTGTCAGCGTCTTAGACTTGGTTGCCATGCATCTTCTGCGGTACTTAAAATTATTATTTACTGCAATCCAAATCAAAATAATTTAATTCAAACGAAATGGCTCAGTTCTTAGTTCAAGAAAACCTGAAATAATTTTTGAAATATTTTCTATTGGGTGCAAAAGATTTGCTACAAGTCAGAAAATGAGTATGCAACCTTGAGGTCCTACACTAGTTACAATGGAGTCGAAACACTTCATTTTACTTGTGTTTTGGAACCTGCCTTACTCAAAGGGTCTTTTGCCTGCAATTGTTTGGTACTATCTGTCACAATTATACAACTTCCGTCCTAGTAGTATGCCTAATCTGTTCAGTTAGTGGTTTATGCTTTTGTTGATATCAATACTTTCTTGGTAAAAATGGTTAGGGGTTCTATCATTGGGCCCTCCCGTTCTTTTTCCTCTTCTTCAAATACTCCTTACAAAAGAGATTGTATCAGAGAAAGCTATAATGGGTTTCTACTTGTCCGTGCAAAGGTAGAGTATTAGAGCCTTCACTTAACAAGTTGTCATGATATGAAGCAGTCTTTTGACAATCCCACATATTTAATGCTTCATCAAAAATTTTGTTCAACAAACAGCCAAATTGTGCTTCATGCATTTCTCACTCCAGGGGTGAGTGTGACCAACCATTTTTGTGGTCTTGTTTGCATTCATAAGGCCTTGACCACAGGCATCATTGCATATTAGGGAGATAAATTTATTATACAATTTCTTGGTTGTGGTAAATCCCTGATTTAAATCTTTTTTTTTCTCCCTATTTGTCGTGGTTTTGATGTTTCAAATTATCCTGATTGTCATTTTATGTCATGTTATTATTTCATGATTTTGACCCGGGTACTTGTGTTTTTAGGCTCATGGCTCTCTTGAACGAGATGATGAGGTATAATTTTACTTCTCTAATTCTACTAAATCTCAGTCTGGCATTTATCCATGACCTATGCTTTTGGAACCTGTTTAACTTCATAAGAGGATGTCGTACTTTTATGAATATGAATGTTCCAGCTAAGTGCTCTATTTCACCAGTTAGAAGTTTTTTATCCTGCTGGTTTGTATCATTATTTATTTTATTTTTGGAGTTTCAATTCATTAGCATATTATAAAAGCGTCTGATGCATTTATTTTGTAGGATGTTTATTTTGATGATGAATCTGCTGAAGTTGTTATATCATCTTTGCGGTTGGGGGATGACCATGAAAGGTAAGTGGCGGGCTTTCGTGGGTCTTTCCTGTATCATTAATTCACATTCACAACATAATTAAAATGATGCCAAATAATTTACCAAAGGTCTCACTCACTTCTGTGATGAAGCTTGTGCTGTATTTTCTTTTGATATATGCCTCAATTTTTCCTGGCACATGCAGCGGGTCTCTCTTTACAAATTCCAACTGGTTTGCTTTTGAGGAAGATGGAGTTGCCAATGAGCGATCAACTGGTTCCCTTGCTTCTCCCTCGCCTAATGCTGAGGAGACTGGAGTTATCAGTGGCAGTGGAGACGATAATGTTATTGTTGGTGATGATGAGGATTTGGTTGACACTGCAACATCATCTCCAGAACCGGGACCTAAATCAGAACCTGTTGAAACTGACAAACCACTTGAATGGGTGGAATGGAGAGAATCTTCAGATGCCAATGTCTCTGCTGAGCTTCCCAATGGAGAACTTAAGGACCAATCAGGCAATGATGTTTCTAGTCCAGCTGAAACATCTCCGTCATCCAGTGCTGCATCAACAAAGGATGTGACAGCTGAACCATTAGCATCACCCAATGAGAACTCGAGCAAGGAAATCTTCCTGCCTGCAGAAACAGAAATTGGAACTAACAGTTCACCCGCACCTATGGATGTGGAAGTAACCAAAGTTGAGGGAGACAGTAACAAGGATGCTAAAGATGACAAAGGGGTTGAAAAAACGAATTGCTAATGTAAATTCTTGAATGAATCATCATGGGGGTCTAACTGGGCAAACATTAACAGAGGTGGGGAGATGAAATCTGGAGTTTGAATTGGCAACAGTATTTAGAACCTCTGAACATCGATGGAGCTTTACCTCAGCAGGAATATTGATTCTTTTATACCCACCAGCAAATCGAGGCTCGCGCGTCATTTGAAGCATGAACTTTGGTGTTCCATGAGTCTTTTAGCTCATGCGGTTAGGTGCTACTGAATTTTTCACGTGTCTATATCAATATTTAGCTTGTCCCATTAGGACGCAACCGAATTTTTCACCTTCTTTTTCGTGGATAACTGTTAATATAATTATGTTTTAAAACAGAGTTCAGCTATGAAAATGAGTTCCTTGGCTGAAAAGTTTCATAAACTCATTCAAGGGGATCTGATTTTCGTGAAAAGTATCTTGCTCGGATTGTATGGATCAAGCTCAAGTCATTGGAATCGCTTAGCACCCAGTCTAGATGTGATTGGTGGGGCCTGTAGTTGAGTTCTTGGAGGAATAAGATTTCTGACAATACGAACTGTTCCCAAATATGGTAGCTTGTGTTCCCCCCCCCCCCCCAAAAGGTAAAATTAGACTTGTGCTTTGCAGCATGGAATGCGTCCTTTGGGTGCAGGTTTGACTGTTGGAATCGGAATTTAGGGGCGAGATCAAGCAGGTAAGCCATTAAACTGTGTAGATTACTATATATTCTGCATCTATCTGGAAGATGCAAGGGCTAATGCAGTCCCGCACTGCTTGATGTGTGTTTATGTTTCTCTTATATGACCGTACGTGACGGTGGAATGCGCGAATGCGCTTGAAACACTAGAATAATTAACAAAATTCCTCTCTCTAAAAGACAATTGCTTTGTCATCATGTCTGCATGTAGTAGCCTGTGTACAATAGCGTCTCATGGAATGAAGACATTAATTTACCCCATTCATAAAGGGATGAAGTCATCAAGGATAAACTGGATGGTGGGCTTGGTATTGAAGGTCTTGAGATTCGAAATACTGCCTTTCTTTTCAAATTATACATCTTCATGATCATTATTATTATAGGTTTTATGCATTATAAAATTAGATTTTAAAATAACTATATACATTATATCTGAGCATTACATCCCAAATTTTATTTCAAATATTGTAAAATATTAATTTTCTTAAATTATATTTTTAACGACCTATAATAGTTTTTTTGGCTTTTGTTCTAGTATTCTAAGTCTTTGATCTATATTATTCTAGTTATGAGGTTAAGAGGGATCAACCCTAGTAGACAACTGATCCAATCTTTTTATACTAATAAAATCACATTCAAAATAAAATTTATTTAAACTCAACTTATAAATTTAATTAATTTATTTTCTTTTGAACCAAGAGCAATTTATTCCAAGTAAAAGGTAGTCCCTTACAAACATAAAAGGCGCAATCAAAACAAAATCGGACACAGAAATAGCACGAAGTTAAAGGCAAACAAAAACAAACATGATGAATGGCAAAAAATCCCGCAGAATTCAAATCTACAACGAAGTCACCAGCGTATAGAAACATGCTGCCGAATGAAAGGAGAACCACAAGCTGATAATGCACCACGCGCATGAAGTCAGCTAAAGTCCCGTCTGCAGAAGAAAAGGTACCCAAGAGGTACTAATAAGAGAACCAACCCTTCTCAAACGGAAGGCTAAAACTATAGCCAATATCCCAATGATATTAGTGTGTCTATCACTTGAGAGAAACGAAGACTGATCCGAAGGCAAGAAGTAAACAACCTGTGAAAGAAAGGGAAAGACAACACACTAACATAAGAGTAGCCTGAAAAAAGAGGGAGGATCATGACACTACACATTTCATGTCCTCTCGGCATCCGTATCATGGTTCCATGTTCCATCAGCATCAGTTACAGGAGAAGCGGGTGGAAATAAGTCAAGCAATCAGATTCAAGAGCCCAATCATCCAAAGCGGTATTGGACAATAATAACTTCCTTAATTTAAAATCCTTGAAAATGAGATGCATGAATGCTTTATGAGTTTCGAAATCGATTCGTTGAAATTACGTGCGATTGATATTCAAAATTTTAACATACAACAACAACAACAACAACAACAAGCCTTTATCCCACTAGGTGGGGTCGGCTACATGGATTGCAAGACGCCATTGTGCTCTATTATTTATCAAGCTTTTAGAAATATTATTAATTAAGAGATCACGTTCAACAACTTCCAAGAGTGTTCTCTTAGGCCTTCCTCTACCTCTCTTAATCGGACTCAAAGTTATATATTCCACTCTTCTCACTGGTGCCTCCCTTGGTCTTCTTTGTACATGCCCAAATCATCTCAACCGATTTTCTACCATTTTTTCCTCAATAGGTGCCACCCTCACTTTTTCGCGTATGTGCTCATTTCGAATTTTATCTTTACGTGTATGTCCGCACATCCATCGTAACATTCTCATCTCTGCTACTCCAACTTTATGCTCTTGCTGTCCCGTTAGAGCCCAGCATTCACTACTATATAACATTGCCGGTCTGATAGCAGTGCGATAAAACTTTCCTTTAAGTTTATTAGGCACCTTATGGTCACAAATAACTCCTTTAGCTTTTCTCCAATTAAACCACCCAGCTTGAATTCTATGTGAAATATCTCCACTGATTTCGCCATCATTTTGAATAATGGCTCCCAAATATCTAAACTTTTCCACTTGAGGTATAATTTGATCTCCCAATTTCACTTCCAAATTATTTTCGAATAGTCCTTTACCAAATTTACAATATAAATATTCCGTCTTACTTCTACTCAGACGAAAACCTTTCGACTCCAATGTCCTCCTCTATAACTCAAGTTTGCAATTAACCTCTTCTCTTGTCGCTGCTATAAGAACTATATCATCCGCGAAGAGCATACATTTCGGGATTTCCTCTTGAATATGTTCCGTCAAGACATTTAAAATCAAGTTGAACAAATAAGGACTCAGAGATGATCCCTGATATAGTCCAATCTTTATAGGAAAATCCTTTGTTTGACTACTAGGCGTTCTTATACTAGTTTTTACCCCCTCATACATATCTTGTATGGCTTTAATATAAGCAATCCGTACTCCCTTTTTTTTCCAACGCTTTCCAAAGCACTTCTCTTGGTATACAGTCATAAGCTTTTTCCAAATCAATAAAAATCATGTGTAGATCTTTATCTTTACAACGATACTTTTCCATTAATCCCCTTAGTAGATAAATCGCCTCTGTAGTTGATCTACCTGGCATAAAACCAAATTGATTCTCAGAAGTACTTGTCTCCAATCTCAACCTGTGCTCAATTACTTTCTCCCACAATTTCATTGTGTGGCTCATGAGTTTAATCCCTCTATAGTTAGTACAATTCTGAATATCTCCTTTATTTTTATAAATAGGAATTAATATACTTCTCCTCCACTCATCAGGCATTTTCTTGGACCGTAAAATCACATTAAATAACCTAGTTAACCATCTCACCCCTTCTTCACCTAAACATTTCCACGCTTCGATAGATATACAATCAGGTCCGTTGGCTCTACCATTTGTCATTTTTTTAAGAGCTTCCTTTACCTCCTTATCACGTATTATTCGATAGAATGACAAATTTTGTTCTCCTTCACCAGTTACTAAATCCTCCAAGTTACTAGATGAATCCTCTCCATCATTGAAAAGTTTAAAAAAATAAGTCTCCCATCTATTTTTAATTTCATCATCTGTAACTAAAATGCTTCCCTCTTCATCCTTAATACACCTTACCTGTTCTAAATCTCTTGATTTTCTTTCCCTACTCTTGGCAATCTTATAAATATTTTGCTCTCCTTCCTTCGTCTCAAGGTTCTTATAAAATTCTTCAAAAGCTTTAGAACGAGCTTCACCCACAGCTCTTTTAGTTTCCTTCTTAGCCATACGGTACCTCTCCCAATTTTCCTCATTGTTACACAAATGTATGGCTTTAAAACAATTCTTCTTATACTTGATTTTGTCCTGTACACTATTATTCCACCACCAAGACTCCTTATCTTTCGGACCAGAACCTTTCGATTCTCCCAAAACTACTTTTGCAACCTCTCATATCTTTTTAGCCATATCCTCCCATATGATGTTAGCACTTCCCTGAGAATCCCAAATTCCTTTATCCAAAAGATTTCGCTTGAAAATATCTTGCTTCTCACCTTTTAATTGCCACCACCTAATCCTTGGTGTTACTACTTGTCGATGTTTTTGGATTTTACTCATAATACACACATCAAGGACTAGAACCCTATGTTGTGTCGTTACAGCATCTCCGGGGATCACCTTACAATTTTTACAAAGTTTTCTATCTGTGTTCCTAACCAAAAGAAAATCAATCTGTGACTTTGAGGCTCCACTTTTGTAAGTGATGAGATGCTCATACAATTCCCAATTAAGGATATAACTCTACAGCAAATTTTCAAACTCGGATTAATACACATAATACACGATACCATATTAATTTTTAGTATCTCAAACGTTACATTTAATATATCAAATTAAAAATTAAAAATATATTAATTTTATATGATAAATTAAATTAGGGAGAATTGTTCCAAAAAAAAACTGACATGCATATTTTTTGCTGAAAAGACATTAAAATTTGGGGAAGGACCAAGGTCGTGTGGTATCAACATGTTTGAGTGTTAAATAACTAAATTACCCTCACCAAATCTTCTTCCTCTATCTCCTCTCCTACCCCCTCTTGCGATTGTTAGCAACAACATTGACATTGTTCTGGCCAGCAACCCTGTGATGCCGACGGCAGTGACGAGTTGTTATATGGAAACAAATGGTGAGTGTTGAGATGTTAGTTTTGAAGATGGTGGAAGAGCGGGTGAAGAACGAGGATCTTCTCTCTTGGTTCAAACCCTACGGCATTTTCTGGTCCTAAGATCCGAAGATTGGTGTTGGATCCAAAAAAAACATCAGCTACCCTCAGAACTACTACTAGCCACGTTGAAAATCTCATTACCGGCGTGACCAAGGGATATCAGCATTAAGTAAGAGTATTTGGTTGCAAAATGACGAAAAAATTGATGAACAGTCATGCTGGATAAATTATCTATCCTCTCTCTCTACTCCATTGGCAGTACCGCTAGTGTACCCCAGAGATGGTGGCAATCCATGATCTAGACCCTAAGGTATGTTAATTATCAAGAGCGTCCTCTATATAAGTAATGCTTCTGATTTATCAGTGGATTTGTCTATCTCATGAAAGGTTATTAAATTGTGTAAGAACGATATTGTTTTACACCTTTCATAAGTCACACTGACTTGATACAATAAACCCTAACTTTTCATGACATGCGAGAAGATCGTGGATCTGTCATTCCTTCTTTCCTTCCTCTTTCTAGTGAGCATATCAGCAATGGCCAATGAGGGAATATATTGG